CCGGCCCCGGCCCCGCCCCCGCCCCCGTGACGCGCGCGCGGCCAACAATGGGGCACCAAGCAGGGCGCACGCGCGGGGCGGGGCGGGGCGCGGTCACGTGCGCGCCGGCTGCTGGCACTCGGTTGGGTCTGGCGGGCTCGCCTGTGCGGGCCCGGCAGCAGGTAAGTGCGCGTGGCGCCTGGAAGCAGTAGAACGACCGCCCTCCCGGTGCCAGGGGCCTGTCTGTGCTCCAGGGCAACCCGCCCCACAAGACCCCTAGGGACCCGGCGGACCTTCGTACTCGGGGCCCCTCCCCCTGCCCGGTCTCCGTGGGCCCCCTTGGGAGGTCACTGGCACCCATATCCCCCAGCACGGAGTGTGCCGGAATCCGAGGATTCTCCACGTTGTCGGCGCTTCCGGGCTTGGGCTGGTTTCCACCGGCTAGAGTCCTCGGACGTGAAGACCTTCTGGGGTGCCTGGCGCCTTGTCCTGCAGGCTCCCAGCCCAGCGTGCCCAGCTCCAAAGCTAACCTGGCCCTGTGTCCCTTCCAGCAGTGGACTTACTCTGGGGCGAAGGACTCATTCGGTATCCCCATGGGATTTCTCCTGATAAATGGGCTGTGAGCAGGACGGACCCCGTGCGGTAGTCCGCCGGCGTCTGCAAGGGGACCCCGCCCAGGTCCCTGGCTGGCTGTTGAATCTCAGGACAATTGCCTGGGCCCTCCAGGCGGGACAGGGGGTCGCCCTCTTCTTTTGCCCTGCACTGGTCCCTCCGGCGTCCACTGCCAGTCGAGCGCGTTTTAGGTCTCCACTCCCCATGTGGTCCCTTAGCCACAGCTGTCCATGGCTGGTATGCCCTTCACCTCCAGTCATTTCTCAACACCTACACTCCTACACCTACACTGCCTTCCCTGGCAGGTGCCCTCTCCCCTAGTTAAAACCCTCACTCCCCTGCTTTGGGTCCCTGAGCCTGACCCTTCTTCCCCACCCTAAAATGTCTTTCCTGAGTACCAGGCCACATTCAGCCCAAGTTCCTTAGGGGTTCCAGATTTCTCTTTGTACACTGTAACACTCAGAAGTATACTAATTATTTCACAATAATTTATGGCTAGTTCCCTCCCCTGGAACTGAGCTCCAGAAGGGCAGGCACTGGATCTGAGCCAGCCCTGCTAGAGGCCTGGTAACAGTGGACGCTCAATAAATGCTTATTGAGTAAATGAAGTTTGAGATCAACTAATCTTGGGCTAAAACTGTTTCCCCTAGCTGTGAATGGTGTCCCAGCTCCAAGGTGGGGCAGGGATGAGGGAGGTTGAGTGGTGAGGGTGTTTTCTGTGGTGGGCTGAATAGTGGCTCCCAAAAGACATTGACCCCTAATCCATGCAACCTGTGGACATGTTGCCTCACGTGGCCGAGGGATTTTGCAGGTGGGATTAAGTCAAAGCCCCTGAGATGGGGACGACACTGGATTACAGGGGGGCCCAGTGTCATCACAGGGTCCTCAAGAGGGAGGCAGGAGGCTGAGTCAGAGATGGAAGAGGCTGTGACCATAGGACATGGTCCTTCTAGAAGCTGGAAAAGGCTGGAAACAGTTCTCCCTGGGGCCTCTGGAAGGACCAGCCCTGCCCTCACCTGAGTTTAGCCCTGATACCCCGTATCAGATTCCTCACCCCAGAATTGTCAAGAGAATAAACGTGTGGTTTAAAACACAAAGTTTATGATTTGTGCCAGCAGCCACAGGAGGCTCACACTGGTGAGGCGGTGTCCCAATGAGATGAGCGGCTGGGTGCAGGTGCTTCAGAAAACTCCGCCTTGGGCTGGGGGCAGCTGGGCACCTGGTCTCATGAGGGTGGCTCAGGGTCCGTGGTGAGGATGCTTCTAACCCGTTGGCTCAGAAACCCTGCTGCCCTTGCCCCTGAGGGTCTCACTCAGGGGGGACCCTCAAGCTTGGAAAGGTGGCTGGTTCCGTGTCAGGACAGGCTCTGTGGTGTGGGGGACCCTGTGGCAGGGCTGGAGCATTCCATCCTCACATGGAACCACTGAGTGCGCTGGGACCTAGGCCCATCTCATCTGAGGTCCCGAGGCCAGAGACTGGGTATAGTTAGCTGCATGGGTGCTGGAGTTGGGGAGACCCAAGCTCAGACCCAACCCCATTCCAGCTGGTGCTCCTGGGCAAGTTGCTAACCTAAGCCTCAGTTTCCCCTCTGGAAGATGGGGCCAATGCTGGGTGTGTGGGGAGGGCTGACTGTAAAGAGAATGTATGTGGAGGGGCCAGAGTGTGTGTGTCTGTGTGGGTGGGTGGAATCAGATGGACAGACTCCATGCAGTGGAGGTGAGGGGAGATGCCGATAGACCTGGGGAGCTGGACAAAGAGTGAGGGTCCTCCCAACTCTTGCACCAGACTTTAGGTTGGGAGAGAGGCTAGCAATGGCCATTTGACCTATTAGTGTTGGTCCAGAGGCTGCAGGGCAGTTCAAGTCCTTGAAGACCCACCCACGCCTGCACTGGGGGCTCCAGGTGTCTGTTGGAAACCTCCACTCCCAGCTTTACACTAAATGCTGGAACTGTCAGGCGGCCTGTGCCTTGGGGTCCTTGGGGCCACAGGGAAATCTGCCCTAACAGGGACAGGCCTGCTGTCCCCAATTCTGTCGCCACCCAGCCCAGGATAGATGGTAAACATGGGACACAGGCCCCAAAGGGCCAGGGTGAGGCTCCCATCCCAGACACAAACATTGGTCTTCAGATTGACCTAGGCTCCAACCACGCTCGCCTGAGATGGCTTTATTCAGTCGTTGCCTACAGCAGTCTCCCTGCAGCCCCTCCACCCAGACCCTCTGCTGGCAGAAGTCAGTCCTCCACCCAGGGTTTTCCCTCCCAGAGTGAAGCTCTGGCCTCGGGAGGTACCTTCCTGGGAACTGTGGTGGCCTGGCCCAGGCACCAAGGCCCATAGGGCAGCACAGGGATTGCCAGGTGTGCTCAGACAGCCTTCTTGGTTCTCAGGATTTGTGCTTCAACTTGACTTGGAAAGATGTGGTCAGTTCAATGGCTTGTGCCAGCGTCCTTCGGGGAGCGAGCTGGCAGCAACCCTTCTGAGCTCCGAAGGGCTCATGCCACCCCCACCCATCTGGATGTCTACCTGCAGCCTGATTGCCGAAAGTGTCTGGAGTCACAGGCTGCTAGTTACAACAGCTGGGACAGGGTGGCACCCCTTGCCCAAGGTACCCGGTCTGCAGGGGACAGGTGAGGTGAAAGGTTCTGACAACCTTTGTCCCCAGTGCTCCCAGGAGGCTGCTGTTCTGAGCATGGGAACTTGGAAATGCTTAGCCATACAAGGCACCTCGAGATGAGGAACCCAAAGGAGCCTGGACATCACCATCTCTGTTATACAAGGGGAAACAGGCACAGAGGTTGGCCCTGATGTGCTCCCGGTTGTGAGCAGTCCATGTCCTTCTCCGTCACAGGTGGCTGAAGCTGAGGCAGAGCCTGCCAGGCTGCTGACAGGTTTTCAAATGTGAAGGCCAGAGTTCACGTCCACGTGCAGCAACACAAAAGGTTAAGCAGGTAGGGGATGTCCAGCCTTGTTTGTACCACTGATTTATTGAAGGAAAAATGTCTGGATTGTGCCGCTTGCTTTTGGACACGCTCTGAGCATCATGGCTTCACCCGGCTGGATGGGCACAAGGGGCATTGCCCTGCACCCCCTTCCAGCAGGACCGACAGGCTGGCTCAGAGGACTGTCCCTCACATGCAGACGGAGGCAAGACTGCTGAAGAACGTTTCTCTGACCCATGGGGAACTGTGTAGGCTGCCCTGTGTGGGGAGCTGAGGGCAGTGACAGCGAGTACAGAGGCACAGCTGGCCCAGGCCCAGCTGGCCCAGCCTGGCACTTCTAGACGCTGGACCCTTCAGAGAATAGCCAATGTGGGGTGTCAGGTGGGCGGGGGCTATCCTCCAGCCATGCCCCCGAAGTGCCCCTGTTCCTGGGAGAGGGGACAGGCTTGGGAGGGGAGGGGGGCCACCTTCCTCCCCAGCCTAGTCCCTAAACTGCTAGGGCCGAGTCTGCAGGCACCCCACAAAGGGCCTCTGGAAAGACAAGGAGGGGCCATGAGTGCCCCAGTGAGGGCCAGACCACCCTGAGCTCTTTCCTCCAGGGAGACAGGAGCTCTCCCAGCACAGCCTCCACCCGGAGCGGGGCAGGTCCCAAGGACTCGGGGACCATCCCTCTCCCTGTGGTCACTGCCCAAATGCATCCTGTGGCCGGGGTCTGCCCGCTGGCTGCACGTGCTCTAGATGTGCTCCATGTCCTGATCCTGGTCGGGCTCCTCCTCCTCGTCCTCGTCCTCGTCCTCATCGGCACCTGGCTTGTCCAATGGCACCTCGCCGTCCCGTGCCAGCTCCTCCACGTGGGCCAGCATGTCAGCCATCAGTGCCTCCTCCAGCCGCTTGCGGACCTGCTGCACCAGCTCCTCCTGCTTCCTGGGGATACACGGACGCGCTGGCAGGGCATGTCCCTGTCTCCGAAGACCAGGGCACGAGTCCAGGAGGGAGGGACATGCAGACATATGTGGACTGGTCACTTTGGGGACCAAGGCTCCTCAAGCCCCGGCCTGCAGCCCACGTTGCTTTCAAGCAAGTGGCCCTGACTCAGCCTTCTGGATGGTGCATGCCACTGTGTCGGGCCCGGGGGCCCCGAGTGCTTAGACACACTTGACCTCCACTCTACTGCCTGCCCCCTCTCATTGGGCACTGCCCCAGTCAGCTCCGGTCTACCTGGCCACTCTCCCCCTCCCAGCACAGGCGGTTGCCTCTCTGCCCATCTCTTGTGGTCTAGTGTATATGAGAGCTCTTTTGCTATCACTTGAGTAGGTTGTGGCTGCTCTAGTTTCCAGTCCCTTCTTTGTGTGGGGCCCCTAGAGAGCGGGCTTCTTGTGCCCTCAGCTGTGCACTGGCGTTGTGAAGTCTTGGTGTGTTTCCCCTTCCACACGTCTGCCTGTTTCCTGTCTGGTGCCAGTTCATACCAGTGCTTTGCTAAGATGCCTCTCACGGGGAGTCCACCTACGCTGGGCACCAGCAACTCAGGCCCTGGGCCGTATCTAGCTTCACCTCTTACCCCAGTACTTCCTGTTCCTGTCACGTGCCACACTCCCTGCCACTCCCTGGAGCCCCCTCCTCTATGCCCAACCACAGCCAGTACCCATCCCCTTAGCAGGCACCGTGAAGGCCTCACACCCTCTGAGCACTTGGAGATACACCAGCCCCAAGCCAGAAGGCAGGGTGGGAGGGCAGCTACCTGATGTCTTCGTCGGTCACCATGAAAGCCTTGCAGAGGGGCTGGGCCGTGTTGAGCCACACTCCGGGGTTCTTCTCCACGGCGGCCGAGAGCTGCCCAGTGATGGGCATGGTGCTGGTGTGCAGGGCACTGGCAATGGCCGAGAGCAGGGTCTCATCTGTGCAGCCGGGACCCACACCTGCAGGGGTGCAGGAGGGGCAGTCACCACCAGGCACCGACCTTTGTCCCTCAGCCCGATTTTGTTCCCCAACCCCCCTTACAGGCAGGCAGCTGCTCTCACGACATAAAAGGACGATGCTGTGTGCTCAGGGATGCATGTTTATGGTGCAGAAGCAAAACTACACCCTGAGTCTTTTTGGGACCCCCAGGACAGACACATCCTGCTGATCCAGCCTCCACCTTGCTCCCAGCTGTGCTGTGCTGGAGCTGAGAGGCCATCTACAGGCCCAGGAATGCAGGCTGGGAAGCTGATGCTGACCAGGAACCAGACAGCTGCCCCGCTGGTCCAAGGCTGGAGGGAAAGGGTACTCCCATCCACCCTGGGGGCCCGGGTTACCTTGCAGGCCCTTGGGGAGGTCCATGGTCTTCACGAGCTCCTCAGCGATGTCAAAGGCATTCAGGCCGCTCAGCTTCTTCTCCCAGAAGAGCTGCCACCAAACAGACAGACAGACATGAGCCCACGGAATGGCCACCCACATCCTCATGCAGCTGAGCCAGGGCAGTTGGGAAGATGGCCTCTGACTCCCTGCACTGGCTGGGGCTGTTTTACTTAAAACAACCCTCACAAAACTCAGTCACTTATTTAAGGACAGCGGCCTGAGGAGGCTTGAAATGCCACAGCAGCTGTCTGTGTGGCAGGCAGGGCCAGGGAAGGGATCTGCTCCCCACGGAACTCGGTTCTGGGGTGACCACTCCTGACTGCAGCACTTGGGCTGAGGAACACAAAGACGCTAGCTCTGAAGAACGGACTGAGCTCAGGAGGAAACCGAAGGTTAAGAGCAAAGTAGGCCAACCATGGCCTGGCACAGGTGTGTGTGCGTGCATGCAGAGCGTGTGCTCACCTGCCGGGGCTGCTCCACGGCCTTCTGGGGGTCACTCTTCACCTTGTTGCTGGGGTGGTTGGTGATCTTTGTCACTGGCTGCTTGAAGATAGAAGCCGTCTGCCTGACGGGGAGGGCCGTATTCAGGTCAGGCTTGCCCTGCAGAGACATGCACGCTGGCACTCAGGTCCCCAGAGCCTGGCTCCTGTGTCCTCCAGTTACTAGCACACCCCATGGCACCCATGGACCCGGAGGCAATACTAAGTCCAGGCCCTGCCTATTTGCTCCCCTCAGTGGGGCTCTGGACAGACACCTGTCCTGTTCTCACCTTCTGCACCTCATCCTCTGTGAAGTGTGGGCTCGGGGCACCCTGGCCAGTTCTGTCCTGCTGCCGGGACAGTGACAGGGGACACAGTCCCCCTGAACATACATCCATCAGAGATGGGGGGCCACAGCATCATGGGGTGCCCTAGAGCAGTTGGGACCATGCCGGGGTTGCTTCAGGGACAGAATGACAGACGGTGTCTCATCTTCCTTACACGTTTCTGTGGTCTCCAAACCTCCCTCAGCGAGTCCTTATGACTTCAACACTGGGGCAAGTGAACTCGATTATGGAATCAGCGCTTTCCTACCCACAGTGGGTCGAAAGTGGTGACCCCTACCCCAGGGTGGCACCGGGCAGCTCACCTTGACCTGGTTGGACGAGTCGTAGCGCACCCGCTGCCGGCTCTTGTTCATCTTGCTCATCAACATCTTGCCCGTCCGGTAGTCGAAGGTGCTCAGGTCCATGGAGCCGCCCAGGTACCGTGCCAGCTGGGGCTTGCTCCGGAACTTCTTCCCGCTTGGGCTGCGGACGGAGAGGGCTCAGCAGCTACAGGATGTGCTGGGCAACCCCCCTAAATGTTGGGCCCACCGCAGACGCCGAGGCCAAGAGCAGGGATGAACATGCCCAGACCTATAGAAGGATGGGGCCCAGTTCTGGGAGCCTGGCTGACATTTCAAGATCATTCCAGAAACAGAAGTAGGCCCTGTTCTTGAGAAAAGACCCAAAGATAGCAAGTATTTGAGGAACGAGCCCTAACAGCAGTATCCTCGTAGTTACAGGTCCTCCTGGGGGGCTGGGTGGTAAAGTCTTATGTTAATATTTGGGACTAGGACCCCAAACAGCCACCTAGGCACGACCTGTCAGGAAAGTTGGAAAGCAGCCACTGTCAGGACCTGGCTGTGAAGCTCTGCATGCTGCTCAGCCCTCTAGCACACGATGCCCACCCACAGGGCCACTGCACAGTGTAGTCAACGCCTAGCCCGCAGCCATTGTGGAAACAGCCCAGCAGTTCTTCAAACTGAAATGAAATGAAAATATGCTCATGCAAAACAAACCCAAATGTTCACAGCAGCAGATTCACAACGACCACAAGGTGGACAAGCCCAAAAGTCTCACAAACACACAGCGTGGCCGATCCACACTCTGGAATATTACTCAGCTGTGAAAAGGAGGGAGGCGCTGACACTCGCCACAACGTGGATGGACCTTGAACACACGGTGCTCAGTGAGAGAAGCCAGACACACAAGGCCACACAGTGTGTGATTCCATTTATCTGAAACGTCCAAACAGGCACATCCACAGACAGGAAGTGGGTTCATGGTTGTCAGGGGCTGGGCAGGCAGTGGGAGGTGACAGCTAATGGGCATGGGGTGTCTTTTTGAAAACCTCCAGGACAAGCCCCTAATTTGAGCAAGTGCACGCCTCACCCCTCCAGCCCTACTCCAGAAGGCCCAGCACACGGCAGATGAGGGACAACAGAGGGCAGTGTGGGACTTATTCCAGCCAGAAGGAAACCCAGGGTGTGTGGCCCCTGCTGGGACCTCCTACTGGGCAAGGTGAGCACTAGAACCCGGTATGTCCCCGATATTCACACTGTGGCCTTTCTCTGGAAGCAGGCCTACCGTGGAGTGTGGCTGATCATGGGGATAGGAGCTGGCACCCAGCGTGGAACCCAGGGCCCAAGATGTGGGATAGAAACTTGGTCTCGGCCCTTCCTTCCCTCCACCTCCGCTTCTCATCTGTCGAAAGGGCTGCTTTGAGGATCACCAGGACTGGTGAGTGGGCTTCCACACCATGGCCAGAAGGAGGCTTGGACCCGCATTGTCCAGTGAGGCCCAAATATCAAGGTGCAGCAGGTTATGGCCAACCTCAGCCTGCTGCCTAGGTAAGTAGGCTGATATGCTAGGCCCCTTCTGCTTTTCCTAAGTATATTTCTACTTTTAAAATGAGATCTTCTGGAAAAGTCCTCTCTATTCTACACGTCTCAAAGAATTATTCCTTAGGTAGGGTACTCACTTCTCCCAAGTCCTCAATTTCCTGCCTGGATAGAAAATGTCAAGGGGTGAGATTGTTTTCACAAAGAAAACACCCAGCTACCCCACCCTGCCACCCTCTCCTCGTGGCACACCCTGGGAGCGAAGCAAGGCCCACATCATCAAGGTGGAGGGGTGGGTGGGCACGAGTTCCTTGGTGATAATCTGTGGGGTCACTCCATCTCTCCATGGCAGTCCTGCAAAGAACACATTCACTTCCTTCTACTCTCTGGACCAGGAAACCAAAGCCTGTGTGTTCCCAAAGGCAGGGCTAGGACCAGGGGCCAGGTCTGTCTGACTCCTTTCTGCATTAAGAGAGCCAGGAAAATCAGTGCTCCTGCCCAGTCACCTGGTTCAGCAGGGGCTCCAGGAGGCCAGGAACCCAAATTCCAGAAAACACTACAGTTTCGTATCCAATCCCCCCAGATCTCCCACCAGTGAAATGGTGACATCTGGAGAGTCACTCAGACCAGAGACCTGGGAGTGGCACCGGACCCCAAGTCCCCTCCTCTCCCATTTCAGTCCCTCGACTCTCAGTGGAACTGTGTGAAACCTGAACTCATGTCTGTCCAGCTCCAGGGTGGAGCTTTTCCCCACCTCCAGACCCCCTTGCTCGGGGCTGGGGCCTCAGACTGAGGACAAGGTGGGGTGATGATGGTTTCACCGCACTCCAGCCACCGCTGGCCTTGGTTCAGCTGGAGCTGCAGCCAGCTCTCTGCCTCCCCAGGCCTCTGCACAGGGCGTTCTTGATGCCTGGACAGCTCCACTGTTAGGGATTAGCTGTGTCATCTCCTCAGAGAAGCCCTCCCTGATCTGCCCTAGCCTCAATCAGATCCCTGCACTTCTCAGCGTATGTCACCACTTGTTAACTACAGGATTAATAAAATGAAGATGCCTCAGCATGAGGAGGTCCGGGGTCTTACTCCCTGCTGAATGGCCAGGACCCAGCAGTGCCAGACACCCAACAGGTGCCACAGAGGCATTTGTTAAATTAACAAAGAACTAGAGGCAAAGGCCTGCCTCAGCCTTTGGATCTAAAACAAAGAAGCAAACACACAAGTAAGCTTGGAACTAAATGAGGCCAATGGTTCCTAGCCTGGGGCAAATCTACTGACCCAGGAGGACAAAACTCAAGGATTTAGATTTTCTCAAGAACCAGCATGGGAGTGATGTCACAGTAGGTGGCAACGGAGAATGCACACTTGTCCCTAAAAAACAGCTGCTTGCAGTGCCATAGTGTCAATGCCTAAGTTACAGGATCCAGCCGATTACAGTACACATCTGGGGGTCCAGTTTTGCTCCCAATCATTGCCCTGCACTTTTCTAAAACCAGATCCTCAGCTTGTCCTGGGTGAGTTACCATCCTTTCCTTGCTCACTTCCCTCACTCATTCTTCCAAAACGGGACTACCAAAGGTCCACGGTAGTCCCCAGTGCTGGAGGATGGATTGGCGGTTCTAGCTCTCCTCAGCCTCACCCAGCCAATTACTGGGCCCACACCGGCCGCAAAACCCCCAGCACCCGCTGGCATTTAACACGTGGCAGGTATCCAGCTCGCTCTTTCACCAGGGACCTAAAGCAAAGGGAAGGAAGCCCTTCAAGCTGACTCAGAAGCAAAAGCATCTACTACCAGGAAAAATAAAAGGGAGGGAGAAGGCAAGCAGCAGGTGGCCCACTGTATGGGGTTGGGCTGCGAGCCTCCCACTAATTCTTCGTTCCATGGAGGGGGTTCCGGCCACTTCTCCCACGCCTAGGGCAGCCCCTCCCTCCAATTTGGGGTAAACTCTGAAAGCCCCAGACCAATGAGGTGCGTGCGGGGCTCACAGTCTCACGTTCCCACATCTCTGCGAATGGAGGGGACACGACACACGGGGATTGGTACCCTCGGAACACGCTTAAAGATGGGGAGGGGCGGCCCTTCAAAAACACGCAGCTCCGGGGCCTGGCCACCCTGGGAAAGGACAAGGAATTTACTTTCCCAGCACGTCCTCCCGGGCCACCAGAGAAAACCCTGCTCTTCAAAACCCCTAATCGCCACCCACATCGGGCTGCGCGCAGCCCCAAGAGCGCGCGACGCAGATCAGAGGGACACCCCAGCCCCCACCCCCACCTCCCAGCGGCGTCTGGCCCGCGCTGAGTGCCCCTCGGCCTGCTGGCAGGTTTGTCGCTGCCGCACAACAAAAGCCGCTACCCGACCGCCCAGAGGCAGTCCGCGTACCACGCGGCCGCGCTACGGGCGCACGCGCACTGGGCCAAAGGGCCCCGCCGCTTACGCACGCGTACTGGGCCGAGGGGGGGAGGGCCGCCGCGCGAGGGCACGCACGCTCCCTGGCAAAGCCGCCCGCCGCGCGACTGTACGCACGCACGCACGCACGCATGACGCACGCGCGGGGCCCAGGTCGCAGCCCGGGTCGGGGTGCCCAGGCGGCCGCAGAGGCCGCTGGGAGGCGCCCGTTGGGGCCCTGCCCGGCTGGCACGTTCATTCACCTATAGTAAAAGACATCCCTGTGGCCGGCCGACAGCCCCGACCTTCTGGGCACTTCTTCCCTCTCCCAGCCCTGCGGGAGCGCCGGGCACTCCCACCTCTTCCGCTCCATCGCGCCCGGCTCCTCGGCCCGCCGCCGCCGCCCGGACCCCCGGTCTCCGCCGCCGCCTCAGCTGCCTCCGCCGCCGCCGCCGCTACTTGCCGTGGCTGTTCCGGCCCGCAGGCCCCCTCCCTCCACCCCCAGCCGGGAGCGCGCCGGCTTTGCCGCCCTCTCAGCCCCCTCCCCGCGCTCGCCAGCCCCCGCTCGGGGGGCCCGCTCCGCCCACCCGCCCGCGCGCGGGGTCGCGTGCTGCGCATGCGCCGCGCAAGTCCCGGCCCCCCCGGCAGCGGCGCCAATCAGCATGTGGGCAGGGGCGGGGCCTGCATCGGCACGCGGCTTTCGCAACCCGCGCTTGCACACCGGGTACCGCGAGCGGCCTACGTCCACTGCACGCCGCTTGCCTATTTCCACGTCCCTGCCTGGCTTCCGGGCCTTTGTCTTGCAGCCCCCCTGGTCTCCCAGTGTCCAGTCTCTTTCACTGGTGGCCATTGTCGGTGACCACCCCGAGCCCTACCCAACGCTTTTCTGATGCCTCAGAATCCGGGAATACGCCCCCGCTCTCCTCACCTCCACTTTGGTTCATTTACCATCTGTCGTCTGGGGGTTCAAGACCTTCCAATGGAACCTCTCTCTCGTACCCCCTTGTTCCCTCCCTCCAAAACCTTCCCCTCTTTAGCCAGAGGATCCAGGTGGCATTCCCCCTTTAGTCCCTCCCCTGGCTGCAATGCTCCCTCACGGCAGAGCCTGGCCGGCCCAGGGCAGAAGCTTAAGATTGCTGAATGAGTGGGCAGAGCTGTGGCCGGTGTCAGGGGCAGGCTGGACTCCCTGACAGCACTCTCTGGGTGAGTGAGGAGGATGCAGGTGGGAAGTCCACAGACTTCCACCTAGGAGGCAGAGGGGTGGTCTGCACATCTGGTTCTCCCCCACAGGTGTCTTCCCAGCCCAAACGGTAATTCTTGTTCAGGTTGGAGGCAGGCCCTGGGCGGGAAACCCAAGACCACAGCAGGCAGGTATCACTTGTTTATTTTAAAGTCTTCCGGTGAGTGCAACTTCTCATGATTCCGTATGCCCTTTACCTTCCTGGGTTCCCCAAGGGGCAGCTGACAGACAGCTACTGCCTCTGGTGAGAAGGCTGCTCCCTCACAGACTGAAGGGCTAAGTGGCCAGGCGGGCACCTTGAACGGAAGGTCAGCAGGTACAAAGCTGGTTTGATGCCTTAGATTCCTGTCTGCAGAGTTAAGGCCCGAACCCAGGACTCTGGGATCCTGGGCTTCCATGGAGGGCACTGCTCTTAACTGCTAGGTGTGTTTTCCAGTATGTACGACTTATTTTAAAATTTGTAATTACAAAGATAAACATGTTCATTATAATCAGCGAAACCATGTGAAGACATAAAGGAATGTGTTAATCTCCCGCGTCCTGCTTTCAATGGGTATATACAGAAATGGAATTCCAGAAGTGAAATGGCTCAGTCACGTGGTAATTCTACCTTTAATTCTTTGAGGAGTCGCTACCCTGTTTTCCATAGCAGCTACCCCATTTCACACTCCCACCAACAGTGCACTAAGGTGCCGATTTCTCCATGTCCTCATCAACACTTGCTATGTTCTGGGTTTTGTTTTCGTTTTTAATAGTAACCATCCTAATGAGGGTGTGGTGTAGGGTCACAAGATTTTGACCCTGTGTGCTCCTGCCTTCTCAGGAATCTGGCCCCCAACCCTCACTTCTCAGGGAATCTGGCCCAAGTTGGGCCCCTGGGATCATCCCCTGAGGGGCTGGTCTAGAGGTCCTGTGTGCTGGCATGACGGCCTGTCTGGGAGAGTGGACGTGACCCCAGGAGGGAGGGACAGGGCTTCCCACTCCTCCCCTTCTGGTGGGCCTTCTTTGCACTTTGCTCCTTTGAAATAAACCCCTTTCCCAGGCTGGTTGGCTCAGTACCCCAGCAGACACCCTCTCCTGTCCATCTCCACAATGGAAAAAATAGGAATTAAACCTGAAGGTGCTATATGAGGAACCTTTAAAAGGCTTTCTATGGCAGGGTCTGTTCCCCCTTCCCCCCAAGGCCATCCTCTGTGGGGGGGGGCCGTCCTGGGTACTGTGGGGGGTTGACCAGCCTCCCTGGCCCCCACTCAATGACAGGAGCACCAACCCATGTGACAACCACAAATGTCTCCAGATACTTCCAAGGTCCCTGCAAGCTAAAATGAGGCTAGGAAGGTACTCTCCTGAGGCACAAGTTTAGGGGGTGCCAAATACCTCAGTCATTAAAATGAATGGTATCTAATGCAATATTTTAACAATTCAAAGTGAACACAAAAAAATCACTGTGAATAAAATGTCAAAATTTTAAGTAAATACAGGATTGAACAGGGCTGTACCAAGCCATTTTGGAGACCAAGACAAAATGAGAAATGTGTCTTTTTTTTTTTCTTTAGCTGAACCATCCTGCCACCTGGTGGCAGCTCAGCTCGGGCCAGGAATCGAACCAGCAACCCTGTTTCTCAGAGCTCGCACTCTTGAGCGAACTCTTAACCAACTGAGCCACTCGGCCGGCCCAAAATGTTTCCTTTATACCGTGTTTGCCCGAAAATAAGTCCCGGTCTTATATTAATTTTTGCCCCAACAGTCTACATTTACTCATTTATTCATGTACAAAAATTGGCATTTCCTCAAACAGTCATGTCTGGCTGATGATCTTAACTGGGGCTTATGTTTGGGGTAGGGCTTATATTACAAGCATCCTGAAAAATCATGCCAGGGCTTATTTTCTGGTTAGGTCTTATTTTCAGGGAACCATGGTATAAGTTTTTGTCATTTTTTAATGGTTAACTTTCCCCCAGAACAGTAAAGTGATTGAAAAAGTATTAAGATATTGAAGCTGTATTAAAACTCAATAGTTTAAGCTTAAATATTTGTACTAAAACTTGAATTTATTAGATTTTCACTTTTCTGGTTTTCACAGAAGCAAACTCAGATATATTTTCTTTTTAAATATCTGTCTTCACCTTTAGATTTCTTAAACTTCAATTTATTGATGTAACATTGGTTAACATTATATAAATTTCAGGTACTCAACTGTATAATACAACATCTGTATACTCCATTGTGTGTTCACTACCTGAGGTCTAGTCTCCTTCTGTCATCTTGTATTTGACCCCTTTACCCTCTATGTCCTTTCCTGATCCCCCTTCCCCTCTGGTAACCACCATTCTGTTGTCTGTATCTATGAATCTGTTTGTTTTGTTTTATATCCCACATATGAGTCAAATCATATGGTTCCTGTCATTTTTCCATCTGACTTATTTCACTAAGCAAGATCCATTCATGTTGTCACAAATGGCAGTGTTTCATCCTTATGACGGAGTAGTGTACCATTGTGTGTGTGTGTGTGTGTGTGTGTGTATACATTATATATTTATATACACCACATTATATATGTATATGCATATATATAGTATATACCACATTATATATATATGTATACATATATATATATATGTATACATATATATACATATATCTTTATCCAGTCATTTATCCAATATGTCATTTATCCATCTTTATCCAATATCTTTATCCAGTCATTTGTCAAAGGACACATATGTTGCTTCCATATCTTGGCTATTGTAAATAGACCTGCAGTGAACATAGGGGTGCATGTCTTTTTGAATCAGTGCTTTCATTTTCTTCGGATAAATACCCAGAAGTGGGATGGCTGGGTCATAATGTAGTTGTATTCTTATTTTTTTGAGGAACCTCCATACTGTTTTCCATAGTGGCTGCACCAATTTACATTTCCACCAACAGTGCATGAGGGTTCCCTTTTCTCCACATTCTCACCAACACTTGTTACTTATTGATAATAGCTCTTCTAGCAGGTGTGAGGTGGTACCTTGTTGTGGTTTTCAGTTTTATTTCCCTGAGAGCTACTGGTGTTGAGCATCTTTTCATGTATCTGTTGGCTATCTGGATGTCTTCCTAAGAAAAGTGTCTGTTCAGGTCCTCTGCCCAATTTTTAATTGGGTTATTTTGTTGTTGAATTGTGTGAGTTCTTTATATAGTTTGGATATTAGCCTCTTATCAGAAATATCATTTGCAAATGTCTTCTCCCATCCAGCTGGTGGCCTTTTTTTTTTTTTTTAAGATTTTATTGGGGAATTGGGGGGGAGGGGAACAGACAGGTAGACAAATTGCTGTTTTTGTTCTTCAGTCTGGAGGACGTTGCTTCACTGGCCCATGTTGGTATGATTATTGTGCTCTTCCCGGATGAGGCAATAGGTTGCCAGTCATTTGTCGGCCACTCACAGCGGCTCCCGGCAGCAGGCCACTCATGTAGCTCACTGCAGCCCACTGCAGCCCTGTTGCCGGCGACTCACAGCAGCCCAGCCCCAGATCGAGCTGTTGTTCATCATCTTAGCTGTAGAGGGCAAGCGTCACTGGCCCTCAATGTGGGATCTGAACTGCAGCCCTGCTGCTCAGAGCTCATGCTCCCAGGTCAACTCTTAACCAACGAACCACTCAGCTGGCCCCACTTTTGAGTTAATTTTTGTTTATGCCTCAGATGGCAGTCATTTCACTCTTTTGCATGTGGCTGTCCAGTTTTCCCAGCACCACTTATTGAAGAGACTGTCCTTTCTCCATTGAATGTTTTGAGCTCTTTTGTTGAAAATTAGTTGCCCATATTGAGTGGGTTTATTGCTGGGCTCTTGATTCTGTCCCCTTGGTCTGTGTGTTTTTCTGCTAGTACCATATTGTGGCTTTGTAGTATAGTTTGAAGTCAGGGAGTGTGGTACCCTTCGTTATTCAAGGTACCGGATGGCTGTTTCTCTGCCTGCAGATTTGAAGCCATGAACTCCGGTTTAGATGCTGTTTTGCCCTTAGCAATTCAGCAGGTTGATAAGAATTCTTTCTTTTCCCTTCCAGCAGGTGGTGCTACAGCGCAAATTTGTTTTCTCACCTGCATCCTGGCACCTCCCGGCTGGGGGGCGGGGCGGTGTCGCGTTGGTCATGGAAAGTGCCCCATATTCCCGTGGAGGTGGGCGTCCCCTCTGTATCCAGGTCGTCTTAGTCTCAGGGCCCCACGCCTGTGGTGCAAGGTGACTGGCGGTCGGTGGAGCTCCCTGCACCTCCTCCTTGAAAACAGCTGCCAGTGCGCTGTGCTGTCCGAGGCGGCTAGCGAGTCCGCTTTTTGCCGCGTGGCTGGTAACGGCAGGTGTAGCGTAGGCGGCCACCTCGCTGTGCCGCGTTTCGGCCAGTCACCACTTAGGCCCGAATGTGGCTTGTGCACCCCACTGCCTACTGTGTAAGGGCTGCAACCCCAATCCCGCTGCCACCGCGTCAGTGGGCCGGAAGTACCGGACCGCGTCTGCGCCCCGTCTGTCCTCCAACCCGCCTCCGCTGCTCATTCCATTCAGCCAGCTTCTCATGTCCCCATGCTCGGATCTCAGACGTGTGTGTGCTGAGCAGGGTCCTTTGTTGAGTTAGTTTTCAGACGCAACTTTAACGGGAGAGAGGGAGGGGTTTTCTCACTCCACCCTGAGGCTGATGTCACTCATTATTTTCATTAAAACCATTAACCATCACAAAAATACATAAAAACATGTGAATCAGGGCACATGTTTCCTTTTGCTTCAGGCTGCGACATGGCTTGGCATAGCTCTGTCTACCCTGCGTGAATTAGAAATTGTTAACAAAAATTTAAGAGTAACTCATATCACAATTCACCACTTAATATTTACTGTATTTTGCAGTGTATAATGCGCTCCCGTGAATAATGCGTGCCCACGTTTTTGGCCCAAACTTTCAGGGAAATGGAATTAGTAATGTACATCTTTAATTTTCCCTCACAAATTTGGGCAAAAAGTGCACACTATAAATGGAAAAATACGGTGACATACATTCATATGTCTGAAACAACATCATGGATATTATTATAATGGCAAATAATGAATGTCCCTGGCTAACAAGTTAATAAATGTAGGTACCAGGCAGCTGTTTAAAAACGTTTGCTGGGGCTGGCCGAGTGGTGCGTTGGTTGAGTTGGCTTGGGACGCCAGCTCTGAGCAGCAGGGCCCTGGTTGAGATCCCACATTAGGGCCAGTGACGCTGCACCCTTTACAGCTAAGATGGTGAACAATAGCTCAACCTGGAGTTAGGCTGCCATGAGTCACCGGCTCGGCATAGGCTGCAGTGGGACTGGCTAGCAGCTGGCATGCGCTTTCGTGCACTTTCATGAGCTGCTGTCCAATGGCTAGCGAGCGACTGCCTGACCCGGGAAGAGCGCAATGATGAAACCAACATGGGCCAGTGAAGCAACGTCCTCCACTAGACCAAAGAACAAAAAGGATAGCAACTTGTGTGTTCCCCTTCCCAGATTCCCCAACGCTGTTACCCTCCCCCAATTCCCCAATAAAATCTTAAAATAAAACCCACACAAAAAAAACACGTTTCCTGAAGTGGCCTGGCTGCCAGGAAATAAGCCTTAGGTGAAAAAAGTATGTGCAGAAAAGCGTATACTAAATGCCACCACTTGTGTTAAAAATATACAGCTGTTATGGACTGAATGTGTGCCTCCCCAAAAATTCATGTTGGAGCCCTTACTCCCCAGTGTAGCTGGGGATGGGGCCTCCGAGGATGTAATGAGGTTAAATGAGGCCAAAGGGTGGGGCCTAGGTCCCATGGGATTAGTATCCTTATAAGAGACACTGGAGAGCTCACATGCTCTCTTCCTCCCTCTGCTCATGAATCAAAGAAAGGCTTTCTGACCACATAGTGAGAAGGTGGCTGTCTACAAGCCAGGAATCAGATCACCAGAACAAACCCTGCCGGATCCTTGATCACAGAATTCCAGCGTCAGAACTGAGAAAATTCCAAATACCTTAAATACCTAAATTCTGTTATTTAAGCCGCCCAATCTGTGATGTTTTGTTATGGTAGGTAGCCTGAGCAGAGTTACATAACAGCTGTTTTCACAAATATGCTTATATCTGCATAGAATGTTTCTAGAATTTTCAAGAACTTGGTAAGAATTGGAGAGAACTGTGCAGGGACACCAGGGAGGGGATGGGCCACACCGTACCCTTGTGTACTTGCTGGTTTTGTACCCTTCATGTGATGTCTATAAATTCCTTCTTTCAAAACAGCCTGATTCTCCCTCCCCTTGAGTGTGGGCTGGACTCAGGGATGTGGTCCTAGCAAATGGAATGTGCAATGAGAACAGAATCAAGTGATGGAGTAAGACTGCCCAGGGGAGGTCATAAAAGACATGAGGCTGCTATCTGCTCTCTCTCTGAATTACTCGCGGGGGGGGGCGGGGAGAGGGGGACGGACATCCAGTGGAGGGACCTGTGGGGGAGCTGAGGCCTCCTGCCAGCAGCCATGTTGGGGAGCCATCAGGGAAGGGACTCCTCCAGCCCTGGTGGAGCCTTCAGATGAGGCAGTCCACACCGGCGGCTTGACTGCAACCTCATGAGGGACCCTGAGCCAGGACCACCCTGATAATCACTCCCTAATTCTTACCCACAGAAACGGAAAATGTTTTTCATAGGGTAGTTTCTTAAGGTAGTGATAAATACACTTTGCAGGTATTATCCATTAAACATTTTAAATAATCAGTTTCTGCCAGCGATTGGGAAACAATTAGATTTGCAAAATTTTGGAGGTGAAAGGACTGCTAGGTCGCCCAAGCCACCAGGGCTATAGTCAAGGTAACTAAGTCACCAGCATCACCATGTCCAGGCGGGGCAGGTTTCAGAGTGAAGTTTAATGCTGTGTGCACTCACATCAAAGTTATTATCAGAGACTACAAAGTCCTGTCATGCCATGGATCTCCTTGAGGTCTATGCTGAGGGCTCCTGCTGTTTCAGATGCAGCAGGCATCACCACCAGTAACCTGGAAGGGGACAAGGGAGGGTGAGCAGAAGGCTCTCAGCTCCTGTTCTTACAGGAAAAGAGGCATCGAGCAGTGAGGGGGTACATAGATGATACAGCCAGGCTCCAAAACCAGAGCTAGCAATGCCACCTAGGGGCTGCGTGGCCAGCCTCTGTGCCAATAAGCTGTAGGTGCCTGGAGAGTCCACCCAAGAGCTCCACCTGTGGGCAGGATTCTCCAGGGTGAACAGTCCAGGTGAGCCTCCCTGCCCTGGAAGCACAGGGAACCCGCCTTGTGGAAGCTCACCCCTCTGCCATGCGGAAATCATGGGGTTCACCACTGACAACTGCTGAGACTTACCAGAGGGATCCAAGGAGGTTAAGCTTAGTTGTCCTTAAACTTGCCGTTGATGTAGGGCACCCAGTCAAGAATCAGCTGCCAGTCGGTGGCCCACACCAGCCCTATGGTACCCACGCTGCCCCACATGCCCACGGTGGGAATCCTGCAAAGGACAGCAGGAGTCAGGCCCTGCTGGGAACTCAAACTCTCAACAGCACATGTGGACCCCACCCCATCCTGAGCCCCTGCCCAGCATGTGAACACATGCTGCAGGGTGGGCACAGGCAGAAGACCCCAAAGTGACCACTCCTATCTGCCTTCATGTTGGAATCTGCCTAAGGTTTTATTTGAGGAATCCTGTCCCAAGCTTGTAACCACCATGACAATAGCTAATTATTTGCATACAGGTGCCGTGAGCACAATTGATAGTGATTTGTTGACCCCTGCAACAGCCTACGACCAAAAGAGGCAGGCGTATTGGTCTGTTTCACTGATGAGGCCAAGGCACAGAGAGGGTGAGTCAGTCCCCTGAGGACACACAGTCTCATACCATAGATTTCATTTGTTTACTTTCTCTGGTCCACTGACTAGAACATCAGCCACAAAGATTCTGTTAATCACTGTGTCTCTGGCACCCAGCAATACTAGGTGCTAACACATAGTGGGTGTTCAGTAAGTGCTTCCTGACTGAATGAAAGCCTGAGTGAGTGTGTTGCTGCTCTGACCAAGTCCAGATGAGAAGGGACCAGCTGAGCTGGGGGAAGTCCGAGTCAAAAGCCTGCGAGACTGCATGGGCCCTGGTGGTTCTCACCTGACACTAGGGATGGCCTTCACCTTCTTGGCTTGGTCGCCCCAGCGGTCAGTCACCACCGACCGTGTCTACCTGAAGGTCAGAGCCACTATCCAGGAGCATTCCCCCACCCCTCTTCCTGCTAGAGCTCGAGGACACGACTGCACCTCACGTTGTGGGCACCAGGCAACCCCCGGAAGAGGACACCCCATCCCTGTTGCCACGTGGGGTCACCCAAATCCTACCCTGGCTCAAGATCACTTAAAGTCAAAAGCAAAGCCAGGAACATACAGGATCAGTTTTTAGGCTCAAAGAGCTGAGCCGAAGGTGCTGGGCGGGAACAGAGTGGGCGCTTCATAGAGGTACGAAAACAGCTTCAGAGCGGCTCGGCCACGGGGTCGGGAGCCCGCCACGTACGTGTGACCGGGAAAGACCGCTCCGTCTCTGCGCCTGTTCCCTTGTTCATTGCCCGGCGCGATTCAGGGTCCGGGTCCAGGAGCAGTGGTGCACACAATGATGGGGGCAACGCGGACTGGGAAGGGCGGGGGCTGCGTCCTCACCAGTTCTTGGCCAGTTCGCGGTAGCGCGGGCTCAGGAACCTGCTCAGCATCGCAGCGCCGTCTGTAGCTCAGGGTGACCCTGGTTCCCCCTAGGGCGGACGCATTGCGCAGGCGCGCAGAGGCCCCGCCCCAGGCCGGCTGACCCTGCGACGTCCTGACCCGCGGCCGCTGCGCGCGCGGACTCGGAAAACATTAGTCACTTCCGGGGAGGCTCCAATAAGGTTAGACATGGGCGAGAATGAGCACGTCTGGGAAGTGGAGCTTTATGAGCACATGATCCGGGGACTCCAGATCTATCTCTGACCCCGCAGTCAGAGTGGCCCCCAGTTACGCACGGGTTCTGGCAACTAAGTATGACCCATGAAATTTGGCTGGTGACTTTGAGCCCTTACTACGTGCCATAACTTCATTTACAATTAACGAAACTGAAGCTAAACGGGGAAGGGACTTGCCCAGCATCGCACAAAGGGGCAGACTGCGATCTGAACCCAATTCTGGAGCATTCGAGCTGTCACTGACCCGCTGTCAGTGAAGCTCTAGCCCAAGGAGTTTCTCCCCGAACCTGTTTGCCCTTCGCGAGTTGTCTGTTGTCGGAAATTTTCTGCACGTTTCCATTTGAGAGCGCGGTGCTTCCTCCTCCCGGCTGCGGAAGGAGGCCGGCTCGGCGCCGAGAACACCCAGGTTCCCCGCTACCTGGTGCGCTCCCCGCACAGGCCCTCCCGCTTCGGGCTTTCTGCTCCCAAGGCTCGCTCCGGCCCAGCGTCGGATGCAGCAGGCCAGGAGGTAAGCTCCGGGCGCCGTGGGCTTGCTGCCTGGCCCCCTGGAATCCTCTCCCAGCGCCTTCAATCCTCGGCTCACGGAGGCTGCGGGTTCCGACCCGCCCCTGGCCTCGAACTGGGGTTGGGAGCCGGCAATAGTATGTAGTGACCGCGGTGTGGTTTCTCGGTCTTTCCAGTTGCCCGTGAGTTTTTGAGCTTAGTATCAGAGAGGGCCTGAAAAATCCTGACCTTGATGGAAACTTAAAAAGGGGGATGTAGGGGCTGTTACGAAGATTAAGAGAGAGGAGGAGAAAGAGACAGAATAAAGCTTCCTGAAAAGAGCAGAGGTGGGCATGGAGGCCTGGGGCTGCTGGTCCTGGATCCAGCAGTTCCTGAAACCCTGCATAAAGTACTTTATTTCACAGGGCAGAGTGCTCTTCAAGTGATTAAAAAAAAAAAAGAAGAAAAGAACAGAAACGGCATAAGCGAAAAGAACATTTTATAGCATTTGGATAGCTCCAGGCCTGGCTGGATCCAGTAGTCTAGCAATAGCATTACAAATCTCTCTCCACCTCTTAGCTCTTCTCTTCTCTGTGTCATCCTCCCTCTCTGGTCAGCATTGCCTGGAAACTGCGTTGACATTCCACCAGTCCTTCCAGGAAGATGGTACCTCTTTTACAGTAATCACAGAACATGTCCCAAGGCTGGTCCTTGTTAGCCTGCTGTGGAAACAGGGCAGAGCCAGCCCCTCTCATATGAGGGCATGGGCTGAAACTGGGGGAGGGGAGGTCCCCAACAGGGAATAACCAGGATTCTGTGACCAGAGAAGGTGGACAAAAAGCAATTTTAAAGTGTACAATGCAGTGGCATTGGATACATTTGTAAGGTTATGCAACCACCAGCTCATTGTAGTTCCAGAACCTTCTCATTTCTCCTAAAAGAAGACCCGTACCCATCAACAGTCACCCCCACCCCCTGGCAACCAAGAACCCACTTCCTGTCTGTGGATGTTCCTGTTCTGGACATTTCACATAAATGGAATGACACACTGTGTGGTCTTGTGTGTCTGGCTTCTCTCATGAGCAACATGTGTTCAAGGTCCATCCACGTTGTTGCAAGTGTCAGCGCCTCACTCCTTTTCATGGCCGGGTAACACTCCATGTATGGGTGGGCCACACTCTGTGTTGTCTGTCATCTGAGCATGGATTCAATTTTACTGGGGAATTGGGTGGGAGAATAGCGTTGGGGAATTGGGGAAGGGAAACAGACAAGTTGCTGTCCTTTTGTTCTTCATTCTAGTTGTGGAGGACATCGCTTTACTGACCCATGTTGGTATTATCATTGCGCTCTTCCTGGGTGAGGCAGATCTGTCGCTGGACATTGGACAGCCGCTCACGCCGGCTCCCAGCCACTCACGGTAGCTTTATGGAAGCCTACTGCAGCCTACGCCGTCGCCTGCAACTCACAGCAGCCCAGCTCCAGGTCGAGCTATTGTTCACCATCTTAGTTGTAGAGGGCGCAGCCTAATGTGGAATCTGACCCTAATGTGGGATCTGAACCAGGGCCCTGCTGTTCTGAGCTGGTGTCCCAAGCCAGCACCACTCGGCCAGCCCTATGGATGCTTTTTAAATTTCTACAACTTCAATGAGGTATATTTGACATACAAAAATACACATATTTAAAACACACAACTTAGGGCTGGCTGAGTGGCTCAGTTGGTTAAGAGCTCGCTCAAGAGTTTGAGCTCTGAGCAACAGCGGTTCGAGTCCAGGCCTGAGCTGAGCTGCCGTGAGCTGCCAACAGGTGGCGGGATGGCTCAGCTAAAAAAAAAAATAATAATAAAAAAAAAAATAAAACACACAACTTGGCATTTGGACATATGCAAGTCCATGAAACCATCACTACCACCACTGAGATGATGGCACACCTCCCCCACCCCTCCCAGCCCCAGCAACCATTCATCTGCTCTCTGCTATGGTCAGTCTGCGTTTTTTAGACTTTTCTATAAAGGGACTCTTTATCAGTCTGACTTCTTCCTGGAGCATAATTATCCTGGGAGTCACCCAGCCATTGCGTCTGTCAGTGGTTGGTTCCTTCTGGTGCTGAGTCACATTCCATGCAGTGTGTGGACCTGTGTGTTTAGTCATGTGTCGGAGGACATTCCGGTTGCTTCCAGGTTTTTTCTATTACAAATGGAGCCACAATGAGCCACCGTGACCAGGTCATTGTGTGGACGTGTGTCTTCGTTTTTCTTGGGTGGGTGCCAGGGGTTGGAGTTCCAGCTCATATGGAGGCATCAGTTTAACTGTCGGAGAAACCACCAAACTCTTTCTTGCGGCATAATTGACGGAAGTTAACACTAGCTTCACGTGTACTGCCACTCTTTTCTAAAGCATTGCATCCGCTCACATTCCCAAGAGCCATGTGTGAGAGTCCTATTGCATTTGGATGTTGTAAAAAGGACACACGCTATTCATCTCGCAGAGGTGCCACATGGTGGCCATCTTAAAACAACAGAAATCAATCCTCTCCCAGTTCTGGGGCCAGATGTCCAAGATCCATGTGAGGCAGAGGCCCCAGGGAAGGGTCCTTCCTGCCTCTCCCAGCTGCTGGGTTCCCCAGCATCCCTGTGCTTGTGGCTGCATCACCCGTGTCTGCCTCCGCCTTCACATGGCTTCTTCCCTCACATGGCATCCTCCTTGTGTCTCTCCAAAAGACAGTTGTCATTGATTAGGGGCCCTCCTGGATAATGCACAATGACCTCATCTCAGATGCTTCCCTTGATTACTCTGCAACGACCTGGTTCCAAATGCAGGCAGACCTCACTTTACTGCGCTTCACAGATGTTGCCTTTTTTACAAGTTGAAGGCCAGACCCTCACCAGCAAAAAGGTTACGGCTTGCTTTACTGTGATGGTCTGGAACCCAGCCAGCAGCGTCTCCAGTCAGCCTGTAAGGTTCCCTTCCACTGGTTCCAGGGGACGATGTGGCGTCTCTCTTGGGGCCATCATCACCCACTGCAGCATAGCATGGGCTGAGGATGCCCACCTTAGTCTGGCAAGTCCCTTCCCTCCCTGGCCCACGGTGACAGGACTGCTCTGGGAGGCCAAGCTCTGAGGGTTCTTGTCAGACCCTGGCCGTGTGGCCTCCTGAGAGCCTGGAGGGCTGCCCTGGGGCCCCGTTGAAGGCATGCAGCAGGCACCCAATGAACTGCAAACTTTATCACCATGCCCTGTCCCCTGCCCACCAGATTTCTGGGCTGAGCCAAGCAGTCTCCTAGACATTTCCAAGGAGCCAACTGTTGCTGGGACAGAGGCGATGCTTCACTTGGTGAGGATTTTGGCACCTTTAAGATACATGTTTAAACACCTTTGTTGAGCCATAACTCACCTACCTTGCCCATTTATGTGCACATTCACCCATTTAATGTGCACAATTTAGTGGGTTTTTGTGTATTACACTGTTATTTTTAAAAATCAACAGGCAGCATCTCTGGAAGTGGCTTTTCTGTGTGCACCGCTCCCGGTCCCAAATCACCAGGAGCCCCATAAAGTGCAGGATCCCGCCTCACGTGCAGCTTTGGTTCTAGGGTTCACCATGGGCTCCTTTCCCGGTCAGACCCGTTGTGCCCAATTTGTGTGCCCCCAAAGACATGTTGAAACCGTGACAGCCGGTCCCTGTGAACGGGATCTTATTTGGAAAGGGTCTTTGCAGATGTCAGTAAAAGGAGTAGGGCGGCACTGATGCAGTGACAGGTGTCTATAATAGAGGGGGGGATTAGGATACAGACATGGTGAGAGAGAAGCCATGTGAAGACAGAGGCAGAGATAGGGTGATGCAGCCACAAACCCAGGGACACAGGAGTCCCCAGAAGCTGGAAGAGGCAGGAAGGACCCTCCCCCAGAGCCTGAGGAGGGAGCAGGACCCTATGACACCATGATCTCAGACTTCTGAGCTGCAGAATATGTAAGAATCAAATCCCTGGGGGTTTATGCCTCCTCAGAGTGTGGCCACCCTAGGGTACTCACACAGGGAAGCCCCGCATCCCCAGTGCCACCTTTACAGGATGGACTCAGGTCACTCAACCAGCTGCTTCCACGTACACGAGGCCAGGGGCCCCGAGTTCAGGGCCCTTCATAAGCACATAGCCACCGAGAGATCCGGGACACAACCAAGCATCGTTATAAAATGTCGCATTTATTGCTATAGTGCTGTTATGTACAGGACAGATCTCCAATCTACTTTTTAAAGGGGATTGTTTAAAAATTCCAAAGAATCCAGCCAGCCGTGTGGACACTTGTATAAAATCATTTTTCTTAGAAGTTTTGAAAACCAGTTACCTTGAGGCACTCAACACAATCCCATCTCCCGTAACTCTGGTTCTTCCCCTCCTCCCCAGTGCTACTACTTATGGTCCTAGGTCCATCTCTTTTTCATATATGTGTAATTTAAACTCTGTATAACAGTTCCAAAGTCTGTGGGCCTTGGGGGGCTTCAGAACCTCAGCCCCTGCCCATCTGGACCTATGGGTCCAGAAGCAGAGTAACAGGGAAACTGAGGCAGGTCCTCCCAAAGACAAGACCCAGCAGACCAGGGGAGTCACCAGGTAGAGTCCCCTATAAGCCGATGGCTTCTTGCTGTCCCTGAGTCTCAGAAGGCAGACCCCAGAGAAGGCCCCAGGTGATGTCAGGGGTTAGGTGGTGGCCCTGGCCCCAAGCCTGGATGTCCGCCTGGTGCCAGATGTGGGGTGCCCCGCTCCCCAGCCTCAGGGAATACCAGTCATGTGGATCAGCAGGCTCCTGGTGCTCTTGGGGGGCCGACACCTGAGGGGGGGCCTACTGGTGAACACAGCTAGCCTGGGGATCCTTAAGGCCTCTGTGGGGGACATAAAGGAAAAGAAACCAAGACCCCAGCATGCACGACCCTGTACCTGGGTGACATGTAGGGTGACCAGGGACATGGATGTTCAGTGTAAACCTGGAACAGTCACATGTAACCAGGGACCAATTGATCCCCCTGCTGACATGTGTGACCAGAGAGGGGACCTGGGGAGGCCTGGGACATGGGGCCCACAGGCCCGAGTGTGCCCACTTCTGGTTTTGCAGCTGGGTGGTCATTTTGGCAGGTGCACAGCCTGGGGCCTTTTCTGGGCACAGACACCCTGCACCTTCTCCCTGTTCTGGCCATACCCACCTCTGACCTGTCCATACCAGGATGGTCAATTGGTAGAGTGTGGGGGGGGGGAGGTCAGTTTTCTGTGCTGGCCTTGAGCCATAGCCCCTCTGCCAGGGTGCAAAGAATGGGCTTGTTCCCAGGTTAAAGGAGACACCCCAGGACCGGACTCCAGTGGTGCAGTCCTTGTGCCTGAGAACGTCAGTCCCAACAAAACCTCTCATTTTGGAATGGTCTGTGGGCTCCAGGGTGAGCAGCTTATGGGGTCCAGGGGAGGGATGTGGGGACCAGGAGGCCATGGGAATGTGCCTGGGGGGACCAGGGCTGCTTCTGGAGGATCCTTGGCATTTCACCTGGGAGGGTGGCACCTTCCTGCAGATGCCCTGCCCTGAGAGGCCAGAATGTCCCCCATCTGGAGGCAGAGAGGATGTGGCGGGGAAAGGCCCACCCACCAATTTACACCAAACCAGATGTACCGTCCCTGTTCAGCAGCTGGGCTCCCAGGGGCACCTCAGCTTTACATTGGGCCTCGTTAACACAACTTTTAATAATCTGGTTGCTCATGAAATGCAATGTTCACGTCTAGAAACAGCAGCAGAAATAGCAAGAGACACGAAACTTTTATACAAAAACATTTGTTGCTTACAAAACATATGCAAAAAAGCTAAAAAAAAAAAAAAAGACCGAAGGCATCCTCCTTGCTAATTTTCTTCTACCTTAGAAAAGAATTCTCATAACTAGCATTCTTTTTATTTTCCTTAAAAAAAATATCAGGCATAGGCACAAGTTGCTGGTGGCTTCTGAAAAAGCCAGTTTTGCACAGCGTCTCTCTCCAGCAGGTGATATGTTTCAATTCTTCCGCGTTTTATACTTAAGGCATTTTTTTTTCTTTTCTGACAAAGTATATATTTCTTGCTTTCTGACTTTTACGGAAAAAAAAAAAAGAAAAGCTTCTTCAGGCCAGGTCTTGGGTGGCAGGGCTAAGATGCAGTTTCAGGATCCATCAGGTGTCACAGGGCGTGGGGGGCAGCTGGGGCCTGGGGGTGGGGATGGGGGAGTGAGGGAACAGCAGGGTCCCCAGGATGCTCCCAGACCCGGTGTTGCCTCCAGTGGCCCCATCATCTGGAGCCTCTTTAGGTCTGTGTTGGCTCAACACTGACTATAGCCGTTATGTGAGATGTGGACCTGGCACCTGGTGTGACCGTTCCAGGTTAGACTGAGGGCAGGTCACTTGTCCCGCAGCGGCGTACCTTTCACATGTGGCCAGCGGGGTTGTGGGTGTCGCTCAGGCCCTGGTGGGCGGCTGTAAGTACCATCTGAGGGTCTCCGACCACACCTGACACCTTCTCCTCTTCACGTCGTTTCAAGCAGGCTGCTTTGGGGTTCAGGTTACGCTCTGTGGGGAGGGGGGAGAGCACTGTGGGAGAGTCTCCTGGAGAGAACATGAGGTGGCAGGGGTGGGAACGTGGCAAAGAGCGCCAAGAGAGGCAAGGGCCCCCAAGCGTGTGGCCACCTCCACTTCTCAACTCGACCCCTTCCCTGATTAGGCTCTGCAGGGCTGGGGGATGTAAAGAAGAGGCCAAGCGTTCCGGGGCACGTCTCCTGTGAAGCTGCACACGCACGTGGGGAGGGGCGGGGCCGGCCGGGCGCCTACCTCGCACCTGCTGCTCCAGGCCCAGAATGACCTGCACGGCCTGCTGCAGGATGAGCAGCTTGGTCTGCGCCTTGTCCGACTTGAGGTGCAGCTGGCACATGCGCCCCAGCTCCCGGAAGGCCTCGTTAATGTCCCGCACGCGCACCCGCTCCCTTGCGTTATTGGCCATTCGCCTCTCCCGGTCCCTCAGGTCTTTCTCCTCCAGGGACAGCACCTCCTCCGTACTGCTGGGTCACAGCACCGGGGCCTCTGTTAGTTAGGTGCAGGGATGGCGTGACGGGCAGGAGGGCAGGCAGGGACAGGGTGTGGAGGGTGCGTGGTGGCTGTGTGGGACAGGCACGATAGCAAAGGTGCGTGTGCCTAGTGAATGCTCACGCCCTGAAATGTGCTCCTGGAGCAGAGACCGGAGGCCATGTGCCTGTTTGTGACCGGTTCCAGGTGAGGCTGTGTGTGGTCATGTCCGAGGGACACGACCAAAGCTGGACTGTCCCCAAGACGATTCATAGGGATGGATGTGAGCCCTGCTTTTATCTGTCCTTTGTCCCATGCCCATCCCACGTGTGCCAGGACTGGCCAGGATGGCAGGGGAGGCCTGGTGCCCCTCCAGGGATGAAGACCTTTCCCATTCAGAGCAGTCGCCTGCTGGGTGACGGAGGGCTAGGCTGGAAGGGGCTGAGGAGACTGGTTCAGCAGGCAGGCAAAGGCCTAGGGAGACTTTTCATACTTTGGAGTGGCCCAGGACGTTCAGTCCCCCAAGGAGCCAGCCAGCTCACTCCCTCTGAGATCCCCAAAGCTGGGCTGCCCTGAAAGCTGGGCCTGGACTGCCACCATGAGCCCTGCCCACAGGCCTCGACTTTGGGCTTGGGGCTTCCAATCTGAGGACTCGGGGCTCCAATTTATAGGGTACCCATGTGTGCCACACACAGTGTTGAGCCGTTCACCGAGACACCTGCCTGCCTGCTCCATACCCAGCCCAGGCCCTAATAGTGTCGTGGCTGTGTGGTTCTAGAAGTGACCTCACTCTGTGCCTGTTTCTTTATCGGTAGGATGGGGGTTAATGGCAGTCAGGACGCCTGCCATGCTTGGCTGTGGTGGTAAACACAGGTGAAGGCCTGGCATGTGCCCAAGATGCAGGAACCTGGATGCTCAGTGCCCTGTCCTGCTCCTGTGCTGCGGGGGATGCTGCTCTTGCCCTGCCTGCTGGCCCCGGAGCCCAGGACAAGCGCGCAGACCAAACTGACAGCCAGGCCCGGAGGCTGGTGCTCCCCGGTCTCCTTTCTTCCCTCAAGTCCCCACCGGGAGCTTTGGGAGAGGAAAGGGCCTGAGGTCATCGTCTGCCATCCGGTGCTCGGGCAGCAAGTGCGAGGTGAGGAGGGGCTGCCGGTGGAAGCGGGGACAGCGCGAGAGGCAGAGAGCAGAGAGGTGGACGCAGGGGCACAGTGTGACACCCACACCGAGTACAGACGCAGAAACCTCAGAGCTGAGGGGACAGCACAGGGTGGGCCAGGGCCCCAGCTCCAGTACAAGCAACAGCGCTGCAGGAGAGAGAGGGTTACCAGGCGCACAAGAGGGGGAGGAGTGAAGGAAGTAGCTAGGGGGTCACATGGGGACTTTCTGGATCCTCACCAACCCTGGGAAATGGGGGTGAACCCCACCTACAGATGGGGGCTGATGGGGTCCCACAAGGTGTTTGCTCAGAGTGACAGCCTCTGGGACCTGGGGAACACTGGCCCCTGCTAGCCAGGCTCTGGGCTTCCTGAGAATGAAGGGCCAGGGTGAGCAGGGGTCCCTGGGATCTGGGATGCAGTTCTGAGCCAAAGTGACCAGGTCTGTAGGACTAGGGGTCCGGCCAGGCAGAGAGGGCTGACAATTTAGGGGAAGGATGGTCACTGTGTGTGTGTGTGTGTGTGTGTGTGTGTGGCGGGGGGGGGTAGGGATCACTGTGAGGGGGACCGTCACTGCAGGGAGACATGGTCATTGTGAGTGAGGGCTGTCACTACGGGAAGGGGGTGTCACTACGGGGAGGCGGTGACTGGGGAGACCAGGGCAGTACAGGGGACAGTCACTGCAGGGTAGGCGGGCTCCAGGAAGGGAAGGAGAGAGCGCGGGCAGCGGCGGCCCCCACTGACCTCGCACCTGCTGCTCCAGGTTCAGGATGACCGACACGGCCTGGTGCAGGATGAGCAGTTTGGTCTGGGGCTTCTCACTGTTGAGGTGCAGCTGGCACATACGCCCCAGCTCCTTAAAAGCCTCATTGATGTCTCGGACCCGTAGCCGCTCCCGTGCGTTATTGGCCACCCGGCGCTCCTTCTCCCGCTCAGCCTTCTGCTCTGGGGGGAGAAGGTCGTCCTCATCCTCGTCCGGGCTACGGGGCCAGGGGCCAGAGGGAGACAGTGAGGTGGGGGACGGGCGCGGGGCCCGCCGGGTGCCTCGCGGTGTGGGCGCCGTGTGCATGTGCGTGCGTCCTGACGGGAGGGGCGGGGCCAAGGAGGGGCTGGCACCTGGTCCGGGTCCGGAGGGGCTTCAGCTCCTTTTTCTCCTCCTCCGAGTTGTCGGCCACTGACGCGTTCTCCTCGTCCTCCTTTTCCTCCCGCTTGATCTCGCTGGCACCCGAGGCGGCACCCGAACGCCCGAGTCCTGCAACAGGCCGAGGATTAGGGTTCGGCCGTCCCCAGAACCAATGGACACATCCTGTGACCCTCATGTGAGGGGCATGAGCTCTCCTGGGACAGCCAGCCTCCGTTTGCAAAGGGGGACAAAACGCCCACCATACAGCACACAGACATTAATTCCAGAAAGGCGAAACCTTCAGGAGCACGTGCATGGGTCTTCAGTGAGGCCTATGGACAGGGAACTGTTTCGTAAAACACTGAAAGGGCTGTTCTCAAAAAGGAAAAACAGAAATCGATAAACCTGACTATATCCTAATTGTGTATTTCTGATCCCCAGACTACCACCAAGAAAATAGGAAGATAGGCCACAAGACAGAAGTTACTCGTCATGTATAAACCAACAGAGGCCAGGTCTCCACGATTTGTCAACAACTCTGACAAATCAACTAGGAAAGGACAGATGGCTCAATGGGAACAGGCAGCAAGGAGCGGACATGGACGCGGCCATATGGTAATATGCTTTATCGCATGAAGAAGTGTGAATGAGGACCAACGAGCTATGTGTCACAACTACTAAGTCGGCTGAATCGAGAGGTTGGACAGTCCTAAGTGTTGCTGGTAGTGTGGCAGGTCAGTACAACTACTTAGGGAAACAATTGGATGTTATCTGGAAAAGGTGGACATGTGCATATCCAGAAATTCCACAGCTTGGAACCACACCTGAGAAACTTTAGCATATGTATACCAGGAGACATATTTCAAAATGTTCTGGAAAGCATCCAACAAAAGCAGAGTGGGAAGTGACCTAATGCCCCAGGTTGGGCCTGGGACCATGCCCAGCCACTAGCAGCACAGCAGACGTCACATCCAACTTGAGCAAGCGAACGGGTGAAGAGGAACATGGGCAGGAACCCCAAACCCATGGGAACAAAACATGGCTTCAGGGGTTGCAGCTCCACTGAACTCAACTATACAAGAGATGAGATCAGCGAAGTGCCGACCCAGAAACAGCCCAGGGTTCGTCAACAGGTGAACTGCAGGTAAAGGAGGGGAAGGGAAGAACCTGTAGATAAGAGCTCAGGGTCCCTCAATGGCACTGCTGACACTGGGGCCAGGTCATTCTCTGTGGGAGGCTGTCCTGAGCACTGCGGGGTGTTGAGCAGCATCCCTGGCCCCCACCCCTTTAATGCCAGGAGCACCCCCAATGTGACAACCACAGATATCCCCAGATACCACCTGATGTCCCTCAGGTGAGACTCTGGGTGTGGAGTAATAAGATTAAGAAAAACGAAAGTACTGACTTTTTTCTAAATCCGGCTGGCTTTTGGGTTATGTGTGGGACAGGATGGGGAGGGTCCCCAGAAAGGCATGAGAGCGCCTGCTCTAATTTGGGTTGCATGGTAGGTTCCCAGGGGGCTCGGCAGTTAGGCAGCCTTTTCACATACCAACACCACATTACTGTGACATGTGTGGTGTATTTTTCACAAGGTTGAAGATTTGGGGTGGAAGCCAGGCTCAGCTTGGCCACTGCCTGGTGGGGAGTCCCTGGACCCCGCTCTGGTCCTTGATTTCTCCTGCTGTAGCGCGGTCGGCATTAACCGACCCTGGGACTGGCCATGAGTCCTAGGACCCCAATCCCTGGTGGGTGCTTGCGAGCCTTGCCACGTTCTTGCCTCCTGCTCTATAAAGATCTCCTGCTAGGCGGACAGCTGTCCTGCTCAAATGAAGGCCTCCCCTTGCTGGCCCCAGCACCTTCAAACATGCTGTCACCTCCTTGGTCTTGAAATAAATCCTCTAGACCTCACCCACTCTGCTCTTACTTCCTGGACAATAATGCCCCAGCACTTTACCAATGCCGCTCCTGCCCAGGTCACTCTGACCCCACCTCAGTCTAGCCTGGGTCCTCACATCCGTGTGGGACACAGTCCACCCTCCTCCACTTCCCTTGCTGCCTACCCGCTTCCGGCCTGACGCTCAGGCCTCAGCTCTGCTCTGCCCACACACCACCTATCACCCACCCAGGATCCCAGCTCTGAACTCCACCATGTGCGATGACATTTGGGCCTCTCACTTTGAACTCCAGATCCGAATTCCATTACCTCCTTCACAACTGCAACTTTTGTGGGCTCTACCTTCAGAATAGCTGGCACTCACCCACCATGCCACGGCCTCCAGCATCTGCCCCCATCATCCTCCTAGACCAGAACAGTACCCTCTGTAAGGTCCCTGGCTGCCGCCCTTGTTCTCCACGTCTGTCCTCTCCACAGCAGCCACCAGAGGGCTCCTGTGAGCACCCAAGCCAAGTTCCTGCATCTTCCTGAATGTGAGGCCGATCTGGCTGCAACATGTCACCCCACAGATAGCCAGGTTGATTTGGTTGATCTGGCTCATGCCCCCTTCTTCCCTCACTGCTTTATATGCGTCCCTCCTGAAGCTGCGCGTTCATTTGAAGAGGAGTACCTTCCTTGATAGAAGAGAGGAGCGTTTTTAAGTCAAGGGTATATGAGTAGCTGAGCTCTCCTCCCAGGACCTCCAAACAAGCTCAAGTCATGCATCTCTCTTCCCTGGTCGGGCCTTCCCGCAGCACCCACCAGAGGGCGCCTGTGAGCCCAGTCAGTTTGGTCCTTACCCAACACAGCTTGTCCTCCCCAAAGCCAGCAGGGGGCACCTGTGAACAGCCCAGTCAAGTTCTGTCCCTCCTCGGCTCAGTCCTCCAGAGCTCCCACCTCCCTCTGGGTAAAAGCCCAAGTCCTCCCTGTGGCCCAGAAGACCTTACCCAACCTGCCCCGTCCCCTCCCTGCCCTCACCTCCTCCCTCTCTCCCCCTTGCTCATTCTGCACCAGCCACACCAGGCACAGACCTGCCCCAGGGCCTTTGCACAGGCTCCCCCCTTCCTCGTACCTGGCTCTGCTTACATGTCACCCCCACTATCTTTAAAACTACAACACCCCTACAGCCTTTCCCTTCCCTACTTTCTCCTTCGCACCTGTCTGTCCTTTACCTCCAGGGTGGCCATTCTCTGTTGGATTCCATTTTATCCCCCAGAGCCTAGAGAAGCACCAGGTACACACTGGACCTGAGCTCAATTCACTCAAGTGTTGGTTGAGTGAATGAAAAGGTAGGGGCCCTGAAAGCTGCAGCATCACTTGCCCCAACACAGCACCCAGAGACCACTGGGTCCTGCCTCCCTTCTGGAAGGGGCTGACCAGTGACCTTGCCAGCCTTTCCGGAAATCCAGGTGCCTCTGCCAGTGACCATTGCTGCCTAGCTCCACCCCTGCTGGGATCCTATGCGCCTGCCTGGTACGGCTTCCCCAGTTCCGGCTGTGCCTGTGCCTGTTTCCTCAGCTGGAAATAGAAGTGGGACAGTCACAAGCCCCAGCCCAGCAAAGAGCAAACGCTTGGCTCAGCTTGGCCGTTCTCAGTCCCTGTCACAAGCTCTCTGTCATCCCCGTTTTCCAGAGGAGAAATGCTGCTCAGAGGGGGAGTGACACTCAGTAACTGAGCCCCACAGAGGGAACCAGGGCACAGGTGATACTGAGGTGCCCTGGTTCCCGCCTTGCCCAGGCACAACACTGGGACTTACCACTGTAGGAGTCGGGCGGCCGAGACAGGTCGGGGAGGGTGCTGGGCTGGCCAGGGAGGGCCACGTGGTTGTGCATGAGGCTGCTACTGCCCGAGAGGCCATCTTCTGAGTGGCTGCCTCCAACCTACGGATGGGGAGTGGGCTCGTCAGGGCCGACCTGGTTCCTACCACCCGCCCAGCCTCTCGCCCAGCACTCACCAGACCGGCATGCCGCCCTCCCAGTGGCATGACAGGGCTGGCGAAGCCTGAGGCCAGTGTCCCGTGGCCGGGCAGCAGCCCGTGCACATCGCCCGCAGTGCCCACGGCGTGGCTGCGGAGCACATGGATGGCCTCGTCCAGGTGGTCCTCCATCTTGTTCTGCTGTGGGCATGAGGGGATAGGGTGAGGGGCCTGGGCCACTGGACCCTGTCCATCCTGTGTGGCTTGGCTCGAAACATGTGCCTGCACTGGCCACAGAGCCACGGAATAGCACTGGACCTTACTCCTGGCAAATTAACTACAAAGTTCATTCTTGTCAACAGGGCATCTGTCCTATTGCAAGTTCTGCTACTCACACGAGACCTGATGGCTCTCTTATGCGGCTCAGTTTCAAAGTCACATGAAACGTGGCCACAGCAGACATGCTGAGCCGTCCCATGGCTGCCTTCCCTGCCCCAGGAACGGGCGTCCCTGTGCCTGCCCACACACACCTCATGTCTGTCACACGCACCTCTACCCTGCCACCCCAGGGCGCTCTAGGAGGACACATCCTCCCCAGTCTCAGAGAAAGCTTACCAGGCTGTGGAGACCCCCATCATAGCTCGGTGATAAGGCACCGGGGGCTCCTGCTCGGGGCCACTGCGACGTCCCTGGAAATGGTAAGAGACACATGAATGGGGGGACTTGGTGCAGCCTGACCTGGAGAGGGAGGGAGGGATTCTGAAGGCCAGGGTGGGAAGCTGCTGAGCAGCCTGTGATACCCTGGCTGACCACACGGGGGCGCTCACAACCACAGGACTGTTCTAAAGGGCTGAGTCTGGCCACGTCTGGGTAGGTTCACATCTCCTAGCCTCAGTTTCCCCATCTGCAGAATCCACAGCTCCTCCTCCACCACAGGGACGGTGGCTGGCTCAGAGGCACACAGTAGGTGCCCTAGAGGCCGGTTCCTCCCAGTCCTGCCACACTGATGCTGGAGCAGAGAGGGGAAGTGGTTAGCCCTGAGGGCACCACACAGGCCTTGCAGAAACCTCTGCTCTCACTTCTCCTTGCCCACGGCTGATCCCCAGGTACCTCCTTGCAGAGGACAGGAGGACCTGGACCTCTTGGCAGAGCTAGCACAGGGCATACAATTGGTGCCTAATATCTGTGGGGTGTTCAAACACAAAGACCTGCACGTTCTAAAGTCTGGGTGGAAATCTCAGGCCCACTGCCCCGGCTCTGGGCACCCCTGCCCCTCACGCCCACACAGTGCGGACTTCTAGGTTCTGCTTCCGACCTTTGCGTGTGCTGTAACCTAGCCTGGCTTGGAGGCCTCCTCCTCCAGGAAGCCTTCCTGGATGCTCAGAGAAACATGAACTCCAAGGCAGGTGGTCTGTCCATCTCCCCAACCCATGATGCAGCCTGACCCCTCCCTGCCAACTCCAGGCTGGAGGCACCAGGCACAACCCCCTCCCCCCAGCACCCCACACATACCTGCCAGGCCCTGTGGGGAACCTACAGGGGTCGAGGGGCTGGACGAGAAGTTATTGCTTGAATGATCCGGGGAGTAGATCTACAACGGGAATGAGGAGACAGGGCCACCAGGCGGTCACTCAGGGGCTGGCCTCTCTTGGTCACTGGCCCAACCGTCCCTGCCACCCCCTGGGCCCCAAGCCTCACCGAGGCCAGTGCCTTCCCGAGGGCGTCCCCAGAGCTGCCGGCTGTGGTCCCTCGGGAACCTGTGGATGGAAAGAGGTGAGACCCAACCTTAGGAATGCAGCGCCCCAGCACCAGGGCTTGGCTTGGATGCCCAGGCTGACAAGGAGTTCCCTTCTACACTCAGCTGCCTGGCATGGATGCCCCAGCCCAGCACTGAGCAGCCCCTGATTTTGGTCTGGTTTCTGCCTGACATCTCGACACCTGCCTCCAGAGGTTCCAGGGACAGGCAGGCCACGGGACCAGAAGCAAGGCAATCTCTCTGCGTCTCACTTTCCCCAGATGTAAAGTGGGGAAGTCCAATCAAAGAGCCATTTTCACATCCATGATGGGGCTGAGGGGTCTGAACTTATGCAGATGGCGGCCTCGGAGAGGGAGGGTGTTAATAACAAGGGCTGCATCAGGGGTGGGGTGGGGGGCCATACCCATGAGGCTGTCGGCCCCACTGACAGGGGGCGTGTGGCTGGCAACGCTGCCATAGGAGCTTGTGGGGGCCGAGAAGGTGGACACAGTCGGGAGCCCACCATTCACCTCCGAGCTGTGCAGTGGGTAGCCCTGTGGTGGGACAGGGTCAGAGATCAAATTGGGTTAGATGGAGCCAGAGGGAGTCAGAGAAGGTGCTACCCACATGCACGCCCCCACACCACCCTGAGGGGCCTACCATGCGCTCATGCTGGTGAAGGCCACCAAAGCCACCACTGCCGCTGCCCACAGTGCTGCTGCTGCCTGGTGGGAGGGACAGAGGGGACGAGCCCCCACCCAGCATGGGCCCGAAGCCCGCCTGGCCTGGGGGGCTCCAGAGTTCTGCTGAGGGGTGCAGGCTGCCATCTGCAGAGAGGGGCACAGTGAGATGGGAGGGCAGAGGGACCCAGGCGCTATCCCAGGCAGGCCCCCATATACCTAACCTGCCATGTAGAAGGTGGACGGGTAGGCGCTGATGGGGGTCTTGGCGGATGGATAGGGAGTGGTATCCCTGCTATAATCATCACTTGAGCTGGGTGGGTACACCTGTGGGCAGGTAGGTGGATGTGGTCAAAGGGGAACAGGACTAACCTATCCCCCACCCCTCAGCTGGCCCCATCCCAGTCTTGCCCTCCATCTGGACAGCAGTTTACCCCACCACCCCTTTTCCCTCCTTAACCCCAAAAACTCCTATTGATCCATCAAAGCAAAGCCCAGCTGCAATGCCCCCCAGCCCTTCCTTTTTCCTTGTTCCCCCAGTGCTGGAACCTCCCTTAGCCCCAGCCCCAATTACATAAGACCCAGGGGCATGAGAGGCAGGGCAGTGGACTGACATTCCATTCAGGCTGCCCCAGACTAGGGAAACAGGAAAAGGCTTCTAGGATAAGTGCCATCTCTAATTGGCTGGCACTGCCTGGAACTGAGGCTGAAGACAGGAGAAAAGTACTAGGATCAACTGGTAATGTCTGCCCCAGCACTGGAACAGAACGCAGGGTACGAGTGCTGGTAGGACGACGTGAGCGCAGGGGGCTCTCAGCTCTAGGAAAGTGGGGTGGGGGTTTAGATGAGGAAAATGTGTAGTCAATGACATCAAGAGTCAACTCTTAAGACAGCCTGAGCCTCACTGTACCTCCTGGCTATGGCATGTCAACCTCTGTCACTAGCCCTGACCTTGGGTCCTGGAGTGGTCTGGGTCAGCTTGCAGGGGACTCTGCCTGAGCCGTGGGGCCAGGGACTCCTGGAAGCTGGCACAAGAACCAAGAGGAGGCAACAGGCAAATGACCTTTTTTCCCCATGATTAAATCGCAGATGGCCTGGCACCATCTGCTGGGGTAGGGACACTGGGTGGCTCAAACCCGGGTTGATCGAGTGGGGGAAGGAACCCTCTGTCTGTTCCCACTCCCAGGACCCCCATTCATACACTTTCTAAGGTGCCACAGGACATGACTTTCTCTTAAAGCAGGAGGGATCAAGGCTAGACCCCAGGAAGAACCTCAACTCCCTCAGAGGTGGGCAGAAGTGAGGACTCGGAGCACAACTTCAGCAGGGCCTGCCCACACTTAAGAAAGCCACGTGAACCCACATGTGTTCCCAGCAGCACACACAGCCCAGTGCACCCACTGATGTGTTATGTGGCCTCCAGTGGGAAGGGGAGTACTCCCTGAGCCTGCAGAACACGAGGGACATGTGGTCTGTGGGATCCCCACTTGATCTCATGACTCACCGAGGACGGGAGACCTGGCGGCACCTTCCGGACCTTCTTGGGCTGCGTGTCTATTAGGAACAAGAGGAGTGAGCCACCCAACTCAGCCAGGGACATAAGGGGGCCCCTTCATGGCCCAGGGACACACCTGTCACGGGGGGTGGTCAGGGGACACCTACACCTTGAAGAGGAGGCCCTTGAGCCTTCCCTTTTAATAAAATTAAACAAGGGCTCAGGTCCGTGTGCAAGGGTCTAATAAAGTGCAAAAATCACGGAGGGATCTGCAGTGGGGGTCTGGGAAGTGGGCAATCAGCAGATACTTGAGTTGGGTCCCTGCTCCAAAGCCCCCCTGCCACTCCTACCCCAACTCCCATGGTCCATCCTCTTTATTCACAGGTCCCTGGCTTGCAAATCTGCTGAAAATTGGTTCCCCCAAATCCTACTCGCAGTGCAGAGTGGGAACCCTGAGAATCCACACACATGTACATTGAAGAGGAACAGGTTCCAGCTCAGCTATAAACCAGGGTCCTTTTGTCAGTCTATCAAGAGCCCCAATTTTCATGCTTTTGTGGGTAGCTTTGCTGTTTAAAAGAGCCCCCCAAGCATGGTGCTGCAGTGCTGGCTAGTGTCCCTGAGCACAAATACTGGGATTTGAAAATACACGTCAGACCAGCTATGTTTAGGCCCCAGTTATAGCACCGCTGGTGAGTTTCGTATCAATGAATCAACAATACATGTGAAATAAGGTGTCCAGACAGGAACACACCTGACACGAGGTTATATGTGTTGATCGATTGTGACCAACCAAGAGGCTGGCAGGAATCTACCCATGTGTTTCCCCAGGAGCAGGGGCTCAGTGTTTGAGGATTTGACAGAACAGAACCTCTGCAGATGACCAGAGTTGACTGCTTCTTTCCTGACTCACTACCCATCCCCCCACTGCCTGAGCTCCCAGTCCAGCCTGGACCTGAGGTGCTGGCCTGGTGGGGGGGTGGGGGGAGAACGGACGGGGACGGGGGGACGACGACAACAACGGGGGAGATCCCCTCCCTGTCCCCACCCTTAGGCCTCGCCGCTGCCCCACTCACCCAGGCTGCTGTCCGCGGCTCTCCGCCGAGCATGACCGGGGTAGGAGTAATACTGGGACCCGCCCTTGACGCTCGAAGGGGACAGTGGCCCGGGGCTGCTGAGGGCCAAATCACTGGGCAGGAACCCAGCCTGGGGAAGGGAAGGGAGGTCATCACCAGGGGCTGGTCTGGTGTCCAGGGATGACAGCGACCCCTGCTCAGGACGTTTCTCTCCTGATACCTGTCACCCATGGACACTCTCATGAGAAAAACCGTTGCCAGCCAGCCTAGCGGGTCACCCATTCTGGGATGCAGAATGTGCAAAAGTGCTTCTGGGAGGCAGTGAAATCTGACTGCTTCAGTTTGTAGGTGTCTTTTTGTTTTGTTAAGGCAGACGGTTTAATTTTGGATAATTACTTTGAAAGGGGCCTTCTTTCTTTGGAAGCACGAGTGACGGGGCCTCATGGGAGTGGCCACTCTACATCTGACCCTTTCCATCTGTAAAACAGACACATTGGCTCAGGGGTGGTGGGAACTGATGGGGGCGAGGTGAGCTCTGCCTTGGCACAGGGCCTGGTACCCAGCTGGCACTCAATAGACTTCATATGTACACAGGCAACACCACCTGGGACAAGGTCTAGCCTCACCTGAGATTTGGGAGATGCTGGTGAGGACAGGAATAAAACACTTGGGCGTGGGTCCGGGAGGGTGCCCAAGGGGTGACCAGGACAGGCCACATGGGACCACTGTGGCTGGTCAGTGTCCCTGTGGGCTTCACAGCTGGGGTAGGCATGGGTGTTTCGCCTGGGCTTGGGGCCTATGGGATGGGGCCCTAGGGCTGCTGGGCTGGCCTCAGTTTCTTTTTCTGTACTTGGGGGTGGGCAGATGTCTCTGAGCCCTTCCACTTCTGCATAGTGGTCCCCATGTTGGGGGGCCATGGGGCTGTGGCTTCCCCTGCCTCCCTCGCCCCCTGCCCACTCCTGGCCATTCCAGCCTGGCTTGGTCCTATTTTAGCTGCTGCTGAAAGAGTGACCAGCACTCAGCCCAGCCAGGGACCCTTCCACAGATAAGGAGGAAATTGTGACCAATTTGTTTAAAATTTTAAAAGGTGGGTAGGAAAGGGGGAATGGTAGAGGTGAGTGCAGCCCTCATGAGTCCCCCAACCCTGAACCACTCCCCACTACGATGTCCCTACAGTCTGGAGATTCGGATCCCACCCGCCCCATTCTCTGGGTTCTGCAGACTGCTGGTTGCCGATGGGCCCTGGCTGCCCGCACCTCAAAGACATGGCCTCACCTGAGTCAAGCCGCCAACACCTGCATCTCTGCCAAAGGCAGTGTACGCATTCCGCTCACTGCCCTTGCCTGGAGGGGAGGAAAGAGGGTCACTCAGAGCTGACCCCAGGAAGGACACCTCCTGAGGACACCTCCTGAGGCTGGCACAAGCCTATATACAGCAGGTGTTCCTTAAGTGCACAATAGAGAGAGAACCACAGTGAGATACTGATCTCCCCATCGGCCTGGCGGACAAGCAGGGGTCTGGCCAGACAGCTTCCCAGTGTCCCACAGGGGCTTCTACAAACCCACCAGGGCCCCCAACATCCCATCCCCGAGATGGGCCAGCACCAAGTTGAGTATCCACTGCCCTTCCTGAGTCTCTTTTTCTCCATTCAAGGTAGTGAGGTGTTGACTCCCCAGGGTGCCGGGCTCCCAGGGGGCAGCCTGGGGTGGGGGGTGGTCCCTGGAGTCGGCGAGGTTCAGCACCCAGGCCCCAGCCAGGATTTAGCTCATGAATGAGCATGTGACGTCCCTGGGGATGTTGATTCAAGTGACTTGCTAAGAAGGGGCCCTTCCCCTGTGAGAGCAGGTGACGCCTGGGCTGTGGGGACACAGCCTGCATGACAGTCACCAGTGTGGATGATTCCTGCCACTGCACAGATGCCTGGACCCAGCCTTGCCTGAAGCAGGTGCCCTGGATCCGTCAGTAACAGAGCCATTTAAGTCTGTTTCTGGCTTAAACTGGCACCAACCTCAACATGACGCTCACGCTTGGTCCACTAACTTGCATTATTCTCCAACTTGGGAGAAAAAGAAAATTCGTTTTCTTTATATTAAAAGCACAACAATTTCAACTAGACTTCTGGAGCAAATGCTGCTGGGGAGAGGGAGAGGCATCCCACAGGGCAGGGCCCTTTTAGGGATGAGCAAAGCAAGGCCTGGAAACTAGAGGGGCCTTGCTCTCTGTCCACTGAGTTAACAGAGGGTGAGGCAAATGCTTCTTCCCAGGGTGGGTGTGAGAGGAAAGCTGGCTAGCCTAGCCAGTGCTCTGGGCTCCACCCAGGGAAGGAGTTTCGCCTCCCCGATTCTTGGCCCTCTGCGCAAGATGTGGCTGCCATGGGTTTAGGCCCTGAACACAGCAGGCACCAAATATGGGTTTGTAAAGAGGAAGGGTGAAGAGGTCAAGGAGAGGATGCTGAGGCTCTAGGAGGGGAGCCTGCAGGGGCCATGAGCCCCATTGGTATACATCAGGTGCCTAATCCATGTGCTGAACCCTCACATCAGGGAATGGGGAGAAACAGCAGAGAATAAAACCACCAGGGTTGTATTGGGAGCCAGAACGGGCTGGAGGCCACAAGGGAACAGACTGGCCCTGCCCACCAGGGAGCAGCCCCATGACCACCTACCACCAGCCCCATCCAGCCTGGTCCATGGGTGAGAAACAGGCGCAGGGAGGTTGAGGGTGCGCGCGCCCACCTCCCCACCAGGCTTGGCCTGGGCCCCATGCTGCCCTCTCTGAGCTCCTTGGCCACAGGGTGTGTTGCTGGCATGGGACACAGCTGGCTCTGGGCCCTGCTGACCAGGCCCAGCGTGGGAATTGCCCGCGCCAGGAAGAGGCGGGAGGAAGGAACAGCAGAGGGGAACAGCTGCAGGTGCAGAGGCCACCCTGGGCTATGTAGGACAAGCCTTACCTCCTGGTCTGGAAAATGAGGGCAGACTCCCACAATTCAGTGGGTGCATGGACGCTGCCCCCCAGCTCCTCAAGCTATTCCTCTTGGGCCATATTCACCTGTCCAGCCCTACTGTGCGCCCAGTCCTGGGTCCAGCAAGTGACATATGACCTGTAGGGTCTGGCAGGTGCTGTCCCCTCAGGGTTCAGCACAAAGACCTCTGGACTCAGTTTCCCCACTGGTTAGTCACACCGAGAGTCCCACAGTCCACATATCTGCTCTCCCAGTAGCCACCTTAGCCTATAAACTATCAACGATGGCACTTCTATGACCCGATTCTGCCCAGCTTTCATGTGGAAGGGTGTCCTGTCTCAGGACCACCCAGGCTCTGAGGCGGGAGCAGCCCCCCACTGACCCTGAGACGCTAGCTTTGCAATCACCTTGAGGCTCCCTCAGAACTGCAAGAGGAGGGGCCAGGGCTCAGCAGAGCACTTGCCTTAGTCCCTTAGTCTCCTGGCGGGAGGGACAACACACAGGTTATCAGTCTAGTGCCTGATGGTCCCTGAGGACAGAGCACTGGGTGGGCTCTGACTCGTCACAGATTCCTGACAGGTCCTTTTCTGCTGAGCCTGTTTGCGCCTCTACAATAAGATGGAGGTGCAGGGCCTGGCACATTGGTCAAGGCCTCACCACCCACTACACAAACGGTTCTGTGAGCATCCCTGTCTCAGGGGTGGGGAAATCGAGGCTCTAGGGGGGACAGCCTCACCAGGAGCCCAGTGGGTTAGACTGGAGCTCAGGCCTGCTGAGTCATGATTCTTGTGGTCAGGGAGAGCAGGCCAGCCTTGGAAGGGCCAGCGGGCTCAAATTGTCTAAGTCACCAGGACACACGTTTACTTCCTGGTGGGGACATGGCCAGCCCCTAATGACCTAGGTTGGGGGTGGGGTGGGGTCCCGGCCGTGTCCACCTGCACCCTCTGCTCTGGGCAAACATCCTGGATGCACTGGCACTCTGAGTGAGCTGACCATGCCCCGGGCACTCCCATTCAGGTATGGGGAGAAGGGCTGTGCCCTGCGGACACTCACCTCCAAGCCCAGGTCCCAGGAATGTGGATGAAGAGAGGCTGCTGTGGGACTCAGTGAAGTGGCCGCCTTCGCTGTAGGTCTGTAGAGAGATGGGTGAGGGTGAGGAGTGATAGGGCATCCCGTTTTAAAGCAGGGAAAACAGGCTCAGGAGGCAGGCATGCTTGTAAGTACCTGAGTCAGGACTCAAACCTACATCTGTGAGCCCAAAATCCCTGCAGACCAGTCTGGAGTCCAACATCCCCCCGCTGAGCCCCTGTTTTCTCATGTGTCCCCCTCCCCCAGAAAAGGGAAACTCAGAGTCTCAGGCCCCACAGGGCTCCTCACCCGGCTGGGGTCGAAGGAGGAGCTATTCTGGTCGCCAGTGCCCCAGGAGCCTGAACTGGGCCGGTCCTCCAGACCTGCAGGGCAGAAGAGAGAGGGTAACCTCACCCCACCCTTACCGCCTCAGGTGGTCCTAACCCCACTCAGCAGGCTTTCTGGGCCCTTCCTCCTCCAGCCTGGTCCTGGTGCCTGTCGCGCCTCACCCAACTCCAGCTCTGTCCACACTGACACCACTGTCAATGGCACGTGCCCCAGACACCCTGGCACTTAGCATACTTCCAGGTCCGCAGCTAAAAAATTTCCACCAGCTATCGCTGCTGGCAAACTCCTGCCCATCCATCAAAGCCCTATCCACCATGAACACCCTAGGCAGAGCCCTCACTCACACCAAGTCTCCCTCTCCCAGCCCCAGGGTTCCACCCTCTGGCCCTGCCCTGACCACATGGTGCTGGGGCCTCTGTGCCAAATTGTCCCTCCTGACCCTGTGAGGAAGGCTCATGAAGACATCAGCAAATAGGATGAGCAATAAGCTCTGATCTCAGGAAAGTGAGAGTCTCTCCCCTGCCCATGCCTGCCAACTTGAGAAGTGAGGCTGTCCCTTTGTTGAAATAATAGTGGCAGCTGTCACTGACTACCCACCAGGCATAGGCTGGTGGCTCCTTCAGGGTGGAACCCAATCCCTGTAAGGAGCAAACAGGCTCCTGCCATAAGCCTGCTGGGCTGAGGTCTGAGATGTAGTCAGGGTTAACCAGGCTGGGGAGAGGACCTTCCTCTCAAGGGTTGGTCAGGGTGGGACCCTTATCTCCCCAGACACTCTCCCAGGCACCAGGCCAGGACTCAGAATCCTCCCCCGAGGGGAGGCAGCCAGTGCCTGCATCCTTTCAGGACAGGGGCTCCAACCCCATCCATCAGGGGCCACAGAACACACAACCTAGAGAAGGTGAAGGGAAGCAGTCTCAGGCCCTTCCCTCCTGGTGCCTCAGTTTCCCTCCTCTGTAAATGGGGTTATTAACAGGACCTACTTGGCAGAACTGGGCGTGTCCATAGTCAACTCTGAGTCCAAAGGCTCTCCAAGCCAAGCTGGAAGGGAGTACGAAGGGGGCCACCTGTACCAGCACAACCTCTCTACCACCCACCCTTGGACCCCACACTCTGGCTGTCCCATGCACCCCAGCCCAAATCCTAAACCCTGCCCCCTACCCTCCCGCTACTTGTGTGCATCAGAAACTTCTTTCAAATTGTATCCTTCCATTTTGGTGCCTTTGTGTTAATCATTACCCCCAGAGAACTGGTGTTTAACGGCTTTCTAATTTGCATGATCATGCATATTAATCTCCCAGTCTGATGAATATTCATACATCTCATTTAGGTTTTGTTTTCTAATCAAAAATTTCCAATGTGATTACAGTGCAGGGCTGAAGGACTACCTTGGCAGGTGGGGGACCTGGCAGGGGGCTCCTGTGTTCTCCAGGAATCCATCTGGCATTTGCTGCCAGGTTTGGGATGTCTGTACCCCAAGGTCCTAGACCCCAACTTGGGCTCCTGAGAGGACAGCAGCCAGTGAGGAGGGGGTGACCTTAGGCAAAGTGCCAGCACCCCCAGAGCCTCAATTTCCTTCTGTGTGCACTTGCCTGTTGTCGTCTCCCCCATGGAGCAGCCCCCATCACATGAAGCCCTGGCAGTAGTGAAGGGGGCTCATGGGGTCCAGGGACTACCCCAACATGGGATCCATGAATGCCTGGCAGAGGCAACTGGGTGCTGCTCTGTCACTTCTGGAAAAAAAAACCCTCAGCCAGCCCCTTATCCTCCCTTCTAGAATGACAAAAATAGGGAAAGCCCCATTTCCGTTAATACAATTATTACCCCCCCACACCGATTAATTATGCATTTTAATAACTTGGCCATGAATATTCATAACATCCCTTGTTCGTGTTCTAATTAAAACGTATGAATAGAATTAGATATTGCTGTTGGAGTGTCATTTTTTTTTTTTTTAATGCTAGAGGTGATGGGCTGGTGGGGGGGCACCTGGGAAAAACTGTCTGTACTCAGATCTAGCCTGGCTGCCTCCCAAAAAGGGAGATGTGAAGGAGCAGAGGGCACAGGAAGTGGGGGGAAGGCCAGGGGCGCTGCCCACCCCTCCATGTCCCCCCAGGTTGCTGCGAGGATGACAAGGACCACCACAGAGCAGGTGGCACAGTTGGCATCCCAAGCTGAGTCACCTCACCATGTGATTGAGGGCTAGCCTTTGCCTGATAAACTGGGGGAGTGGGCTCTGAAAGGTGCTCAGTGGACACTGGTTGGGACTGAGTGGCCCATGTCCTGTGCTGGATTCCTCTGAGGCAGGGTCAGCAAACTAGGGCCCTCGAACCAAGTCCGGCCCCCACCTGCCTTTATAAATAAAGTTTTATTAGCACACAGCCATGCTCATTTGTCCTGTCCTGTCAATGGCAGCTTTTGCTGCAGCAGCAGAGTAGAGGCCGCCTGGCCCTTTATGGAGGTCAGCTGACCTTGGTGTGGTGAAGATTCCAGGAGCTGGTTCCTCTGTGTAAAGAAGCCCAACCATCAGAATATCCAGTACCAGCAGCAGGGTTACTGTGTAGGACAGGCAAAGCCCAGGCTGTCACGGGGCATTGGGCACAGCCCTGTCTACTATCCCCACCCCAAAACCCTGCCAGTACAACCAGGTGGTCATTAGCCCAGCATGGGGTTTTCATCCTGCAGCTCCGATCTGTAATGAAGCACCCCCTCACTCAGGAGCTGCCCCCCTCTCCTTCCCTCACAGCCCACCCCACATGGCCTCTGCTCACAGGCCCGCTGGCTGCACCCCTGCAGCAGGGTCCTTGCCCATTCTCCACCCCAGGTAGCCCTACAGAGCTTTAAGAAGCAAAACCTGGCTCTCCTCCCTCTCTCCAACTCCTTACATGGCTCCTGGTTGCCCTCAGGGCAGAGACCAGGCTCCTTCCTTACCTCCCTTTTCCCTCTCCTTCTGCCAGCTATGTCCTGCTATTTCTTTATCCCCCTTCAGGGAAGTCACCTTACGTGTCCCCTCCTAGCTGGGGCCCTGTCTGCAACCCCACAGTGTTGCCTGAACAGAGATGACCTTCCCAAACAACCTCCACATTTGTTTTCTATGTCTTCATCGCACCCACAAGTAACTTAACCTGCCTCCGACCATCACAGTGTGTGTCCCATAAGGTAGCCACATGGCTGCGAAAGAACTCCCCATTCTATGTGATTTTAATGAACGCAAATTTAGATCGCTGTGTGGATAGTGGCTGCTTGTACTGGACAGTACAGCCCCAAAAACTAAAGACTAAGATAATGACAACAATAATAAAAGTAACCACCATAAATGACGATCACATCTAAGAAATTAACAACGTCTTAAGCAACTATTTGGCCAGTGCTCCCACCAGTTTTACCACATGACTGATACAACTCCAAGCCAGTCAGCTTTCCCTTAAAATGAAAATCCCCAAGAAACCAAATGGTGGCCATTCAGCCGCCCTGCCTGGGCCTGGCACTGTGGTGCTTGGAGACTCACAAGGGTTGGGGGTGGGTGAGATAAATGCTGGTTGGAATTTGAGGGTCAGCCCTACCTTGAGTGGGGTTGAGAGCTCCCACCACTGCGAGGGTCTCTTCTTGTAATCTCTTTGGGCAAGTTTTTAATTTTCATATCATTTCAGACTTGAGGGAAAACTGCTAGTAGAGTGCCTGGATACATCTGAAATACACTAGTTTGTATTTTACCCTTTTCATCACCTGCACTGTTTATAATGTCGTATATGCCCCTGAAAAGTGGAGGATGGAAAGACAGGGCCGCGAGCTACCTGACAAGCAGATCTGAGGCTGCAGAGAAAGTGAGTGGAGGCCATACTCCACCTTTTCTAAGAGCAGGGGGTCCCCCCAACTGGAGCTCCATTCCAACTTAACCTCTCCTGAACCCCTAGGATGGCAACCCCCAACCCAGGGCTTCCCTGGTGGGCAGAGCCGGTCCACAAATTCTGAGTAATTCACAGAGAACAGGGAACCCCAGCTGCAGAAGCTGCCCCACCCTTCCTCCTGTAAATTTCAAATCCATGACCAAAGTGATAACAGAAAGATCACCTCCTGTTCCAGTCTCCAGAGGGACCCATTGTGGTATCCAAGTGTGGGGACAGGAGAATCTGCACCCCCACCCCCAAATATGAGCTCAGAGGCCAACCTGTGACCCCCAAGCAAGCAGACATGAGAGGGAAACAAACATGGAACACAAGAGATGGACCAAGCTAATGGATTCAAGATTGATCCCAGGAAACAGAAGCATGTCTATGACAGCAACTACCACACCCCCTCAAGGAAATTATAGAGCATGTGGGTTCTTTGGAAAAAAGATAAGATTTCAGAGAGAAAAAGGGAGGAAGCAGAGAAAACTAAGAAAAGAAGTTCATGCAACAAATTCAGATTTTTATCACAGATTTTAAAAGCAGCACCAGAGGCAAGGAATGCAGAACAGACAGTGCATAAAAGATTATCAATGAGGAGGGAAAGTTCTGGAAATGCCCCCAAATGCAGAGGAAAAGGAAGGGATTCTGAGACAATTGACCTAAATGAGACCCAGCATCAGAAAGCTGGTACCCCTGCAGGAACAGAAAAAAACATCCCAGACTGAAGTGGAAGACATAGCTGACCAAGCATTTTTGAGCCGCAGACCACAAGGGCTCATCAGCAACCCCCAAAATGAACGAAAAGGTGCAGAAAGTTAAGATAATCATATGCCCGCTTACTGAGTATCACCAGTAGACAGTGGCATATGGCCAGGCGCAGGTGGAGGTAGGAAAGGGGATGGCCCGGGGATTCTACGCCCAAGTGTCACATGCAAGGAGAACAGCACCCTGTCCCCTTCTGGAAATCAGCCCCTGAAGAAACACTCCAGACTGGGAGGGATCAAACATGGACATGTGAGTCAGGAGGGTGCGATGGAAGGGTGATCCCATGCAGCCCTGAAGTGAAGACACCATTGCACCAAGAATGGGATTGGACCCCATGGGTGCCATGCTCTAGGCACTTCTCATGATTTCTCCACTGAATCCTT